TAAGAATGCAGGAAACAATACCTTCATCGAAACGATGGACGAATTTTACCTATTCGGTTCAAGCGAAGAGTCTCTCTCGATTTTTGAAAATAATAATGGCGGAGAATTTAGAATTCAACTATATAAAAGCTATATATTGGATGGAGAATGGGAATGTGCATTACTGGAGTTATCGTTCGTACCACAATTTGAAACACCAACGAGACGGGTGTACTTTTGCTCGGATTTAGTAGACCACACTTACTTCAGAGGAACGATTCTTCCCATACTTCAATCGGCAGTGGTTTTGAACGACAATATGTAGAACGATATTTAATATTCCAATGACAATTTAATCTTTCAGAGGTTACAAATTAATCGCCGACACGGAATTAACATCCTTATACCGTTTTATTAATATGCAGCAGATTTCATTGGTCAAATACGTAAGGCATATGGTGGCCTTCGGCTGTTGTCTGCTCTTTGGTCGGGTCGTTGGCTCTTTGACACAATCCCCATTTCCATTCTCAATTTCATCATAATCCGATTAAGCAAACGATATGTCCTTAAACGGATTTGTGTCTAGGCGATTATTTGGTCATATAATTTAGCAGCTTTTTCATTGGTCGAAATACGTGACATACGTCATACGTTCTTAATCGGATTTTATTATCTATATTTAGTGTTGGGGGAATTTCCTGGTGGCCGCCATCTTTCGCCTAAGGGCCTTAGGTTTTTAGGGTATCCTAAAATGTCCTAAACCCTACTACTCCCACCGCTTTTCTATGCCCGGGATGTAAAATCTTGTCTATTGTTGAAGACACATGTTGACCTTTAGATTACCTCTGTTGTTTTCATCGGGTTGATGTTTTCCTCACATCTCCTTTTGTTCATATTATCATATTTTCTTTTCTTTTTTAAATTTTCAAACGTATGTAATTTGGAAGTAACAGAAAAAAGTAAGATCGGTATATTTTTATCCATTGTTCATTATAACCCAAAGATTGACTATAGTATTAGAAAAATCGTCATTGGCCATCCGGTTTCGGGCCGTCAAACCAATTCTAAAGAGCGGAGTTCGTTTTGATGTGCAGGGTGTATAATTACGCAGCCACGTTCGGTTGGAACAGGGACGATGCATCCGATACAACTTGTAGGGAGAAGTAGATAATAAGGAGAGACATGTTTGCGTTATGATTTATGAATTACAGGAAAGAAAACCCAGCTTGCATGATATTATTAGATTTATTTTTGACTCCTTTACGATCGGACAACCCCCCTCCCCCCTAAAAGAACGTTTTTCTTATCAGAAACATGGCCATAAAACAGCTATTTCCAACAAAAGATTTCGTGGCAAAAACATTATATGTAGACGTCGGCATATTTTAAGACAACCCAATTTTTCCAAAAAAAAGATTAAGGTTGTAATCATTCAAATATAAAGTCTTTCATTGTGCGCATACTATTGAAATCCAATATTATCGGATACGAAAATATAACCAAATAGAAGCGGAATATATCAAGGAACATTCAAAACTAAGAAGTCGAAGAAATACTGACAACGCAATTTCAAATAAACAGCTGCGCCAAGAGCGCATGATACGCCCGTCGTCTTGTGTGTGAATTTTTATGCAATAAGCATAAATAGTTTCTGACATACGGCGTGACATGCGAAAACTCCCCTTATTTTTTACAAAAAACTCAATATCTCTAAAATAAAATTTTGAATCAAAACCAAAAAATATACAGATCTTTAGATTAATATAACTAAGAAGTGTGTAAAATTTTAAGCAATAATCATAAATCGTTTTTGAGATACGGCGCGACATGTGAAAACCCCCCTTTAAAAAAAAAAAAAAAATCAATATCTCAAAAATAAAATTTTGAATCAAAACCAAAAAGTATACAGATCTTTAGATTAATATAACTAAGAAGTATGTAAAATTTTAAGCAATAATCATAAATCGTTTTATAGATACGGCGCGACATGTGAAAAACCCCTCCCCCTTTTTTTTACAAAATACTCAATAACTCAAAAATAAAATTTTGAATCATCACCAAAAAGTATAGAGATCTTAAGGTAAATATAACTAAGACGTGTGTTAAGTTTTAAGCAATAATCATATAAACTGTTTTCGAGATACGGCGCGACATGTGAAAAAGCCCTCCCCCTTTTTTAACAAACTACTCAATATCTCTAAAATAAAATTTGAATCATCACCAAAAAGTATACAGATCTTAAGATTAATATAACAAAGAAGTGTGTAAAGTTTTAAGCAATAATCATAAATTGTTTTTGAGATACGGCGCGACATGTGAAAAAAAACACACACCTGTTTTAGTTACTAAGTCCCGTAACTCAAAAAGTTTTAATCTTATTTTCACCAAAAAGTATACAGATCGTTTGACCATCATAAGAAACAACTATTTTAAGTTTCATGAAATTTGGATAAGTCATTCTCAAGTTACGGTGCGACATGTTTACGCCGGACAGACAGACGGACGGACGGACAGACGGACGGACAACGGACATTTGTATACCATAATACGTCCCGTCAAAAATTGACGGGCGTATAAAAACGAAAAACGATCGACGGAAAGAGGGAAAAGTCCGCCAAACACTACATAAAAAAGTAACGATTGAGCAACAAAAACCAGCAAGAACAGCAGCTTTTATTTTATAGTGTTTATCAAATAAGCACTTGTTTATATATAGTCTTCACAAAAGATATATGCTTATTGCATAACCATCCATTCAATGCAATTTTATATATAATTGAACTTTGAATATTTCTTATATTACGACAAAATCGGAAAAAAAGGGTTTCAAAGTAATAGCACTTCTGTGGAATATTACAAAAAACCCACAATGAATGATACTTATTCAGTGGATAAACTACTATTTAATCTCCTATAGAAGAATTGCATATAGAAATGAAATACAAACGTCCTCGAAAAGAAATAAATAAGAGAATAAACATATTTTCTTCCTTAAAGGAGTATTTTCAATAAGGCCCTTAAATAGCCCCTTTTTCTAGCTTAAATTTCAAATTAGGATTTATTGACCAATATCACAATGAATCATAGCTAATACAGTGACTAGATAAGAAATAAGCCTTTTGTTGAATAATTACGTACCTGCGATTTATTCATGACGTCACAAATAGCACTCATTTTGATATTCCAAGAAAAAAATCAATGAAAATGGGTAGATTTCCATTGATTATTGGACAGGAAACCTAGAGCGCATACGTCGACAAAAAAGATCTTTTAAAATAATTCTTGTAAAGACATTTTACATGTCTAACTTGAATATTTAGTTTGTCGACGCCTGCGCTCTATGTTTCCTGGTCTTAAATTTGGTTGAAATCCGGCCCATTTTGTCAAATTTCGCCAAAATATCTTATCTCGACCTTTTTGGGATGTAAACATCAACGCTTTAGAATAAAACTTAGACACACAAAGTTCTATTTAACTATCTCCCATGTCTTTAAGTTAGTTTAAAACATTTTTCATCTTGTAACATTGAACTTTATAATCGGGGCCAAATATGGGCCTTACCGAACTTACTCCTTTAATCTTTAGAGGTTTAATTCAGACAACTTTACTATTATGTACTGCCAAATTTTGATGCCAAGATTATAAGCTTATTAATAAGATATATAATAGATGATATATTCGTCCTGTTGCTTACACTTTTTGTCTTCTTAAAAACTGTACGATAAAAAAACTTTAAACTTATCACTTTCACTAACTCATTTTTCTGGCTTCCTCAGGAAAAAATAATAAATAAAAATAAAGAGATGTGATATAATTGTCAATGAGACAATTATCCACCAAAGTCATAATGTCGTAGATTTAAGCAATTAAAGTCTTGTATACGGCCTTCAACAATGTGCTAAACCTATACCGTATAGTCTGTTTTAAAAGGCCCCGACATGACAAATTGTAAAAAATTGAAAGTAGAAAACCAACGGATTGACTTATGACAAAACAATAAACGGAAAAAAACAAATATAACATAGTGCAAACTTTACTTTGTTTTATTGTAATAGCAAATCAACATTGATGAAAAACTACTTTAGCGAATGTGAATAATACAAATACAATATTGACAAATTTAAAATGAATGTAAACCATTCGTGAGCTATTACAAAGCTCCACATTATGGACAAACTGAAAAAAATCATTTAATGATTATGTATAACAAAAAAAATGCATTAATGACAGAGGGCATTAAAAAGGTTTAAAGATGTAAATAAATCATTGCCATTGGTTTATCTTTTCTTCTTTGGAAAAAAGAAGTCTTTGTCGTTTAAGGAAAATTTATGAAAGGCAAGGGATGAACTGTGGAAATTCTTACATTCCAGATATTAAAATGAACTGTGTTCTGAAGAAGGCGTATAACAAATACAGTCTGTGTTCATGACACTTACAGAAAACTAAATGTAAACAGTTTGGTGAATAAATTAATTACTGAAAAACACTCATTCCCAGAAAAAAATACACGAAAACATGTTTATGATATTAGTAAAAATCTAAGTCCAACATTGGCATCTTAACAAATATCTAACGATGGTAACCATGGTTAAAGGAACTCCAGAAAAAGATTCCAATGATCCGTTTGTGTCAAAAGTTAATGTCGATTATGAATCAGAAATTAAGATTAATTTATCATTGTGCGAACAAAACTTTTTTTTATCATTCTGCAGTTGTAAAAATTATATTTAAACAAAAAAATGGGAAGTGTTCATATACGGTCGACAAACACAGATCAAAGACAAGATTCTCCTGAAGCAAAACAAACATTATCAATCTTCTTTAGATATGTTCAAATAGTTAAAAAAATTGTTTACACGACAATGCTTAAAATGGACAGTCACATGATAACACATGTCCAACAAGTGTTCGTCTGGCACTATTGTAAATATAAAATAATCCAGTAAAAAATAGGCGAAAATACCAAAGGAACAATCAAAATTCATATGTCAAAAATGGCAAAATATGAAAAAAGATAAAAACATTATTAAAATGCTGCTATTCAATATACATACATAGTTCAGCATTGAATGCATAACCATTTTGTAAAACACAAAGTTCTGAATATATATATATCAAATATGACAAATTGAAACAATTTACATGTAAAATGATAATCATATGAAAATAACAAGCAACAATGCTAGTAGTCAAAACAAATCTGACAATGTGTTTTCAACGATTTTTACACTTTTGCCGATGTTAGAAAATGCCTGTGCGATTGTCCTCAATGTTGGTTTCAGACTATGTATCGTGCAAAACTTGTTTCTCCATTCTTCTAAAATATCCTTGTTCAGTCGTACCAAATCTCTTTCATTATGCCTGTAGCTAATCTGCTCCCAGGTTTGAAACTCCATTCCAAGTTCGATCAGGAACGGGAGAGAGTTATTTCCTACTAATGGAGCCAATCTATCAATGTGTTCTTCTGTAGGTACCGAATCCCACTTCTCTTGCTGCAGATCTGTAATTTTCAAGTCTTTGATTCATCACATAATTTTTAACAAAAAATGCAATTAGATGAAAAAAAATGTTTTAATCTTAAAAAAATATATATCTTGGGGGAAATGTTCTTATGCTGTATTCAGACATCACTGATCCAGATAATTGGAGGCTCACAAACATGTTTTACCCCTCTACATTCGCCAGGTCGTCAATTGTCTTGTCATTAATCAGGTCGTTTGTGTTCCGTTTGAATTGTTTCACAATTTGTCACATCGTGGCCTTTGATAGCTGACTATACGGTATGGGTTAAGCTCATTGTTGACGGTCGTACGGTGACATATAGTTGCTTACATCAATTGAACTCTGATCGATAGTTATATTTATCTGATTGGCAATCATACCACATGTCCAAATTTTTATGAAGAAGTACATTACACCTTCCGTATTTAGGATATTAAACCAAATTCTATTATATGTTTTACCATATAGATGAACTGATGATCCTAACATACATTTGACATACAGATATACAGATGATCCTGGCATACAATTGACATATAGATGTACAGATAATCCTGGCATACAATTGACATATAGATGTACAGATAATCCTGGCATACAATTGACATATATATGTACATATGATCCTGGCATACAATTGACATATAAATGTACAGATAATCCTGGCATACAATTGACATATTGACATATAGATGTACAAAAGATAATCCTGGCATACAATTGACATACATATGTACAGATGATCGTTGCATACAATTGACATATAGATTTACAGATGATCCTGGCATACAATTGACATATAGATGTACAGATGATCCTGGCATATGATTGAGATATATTTTGTGTCTACTATTAATCTAAACACCTCGTATTACAATATCTTCTAGAAATGCGTGTAACGTTTTATTGTTGCTTATTTGATTATATTGTGTAATTTTGGTGAAACCTTATTTATTGCATCAAGCTTTTCTATATTGTGTTTTGTGTACTGTTGTGTTTTAGTTTTTATTTTGCCAGGGCGGTGTCAGTTTATTTTCGACTTATGCGTTTGAATCTCCCTTTGGTATCTTTCGCCTCTCTTTTTTGAACACATTTAACGCACTTGACAACGGGTAACACTATATAAATAACACATAACTGAGAGGGTGATAGAGCAGATTTTTACCCCGAGAAAACATTGTCAACTGAGGCGAAGCCAAGGTTGATAATGTATTTTCGAGGGGTAACAATCTGCTCTATCACCCTCTCAGCTATGTGTTATTTAATTTATTATACTGAATGTTCTGTTATTACTGTCGATTAAATTTCTAATTCAAAGTTATAAACTATGACGTCTTGTACATAACAACCATCCGTATTTAATAAAGCGCACACTAAAAGTCTTGATCAAGCGTCTCCGTGAAGGGTAATAGAGTATTTACCATACGATAGAGTCGTATTTGATAAAGCGCATACTTGATCAAGCGTCTCCATGAAGGGTAATAGAGTAAATTAACACCCTCGTATTAGCCAATCAAAATCTAGCATTTTGACATGAAGTATAATAATATTTATTACAGAATAGGAGCAAAACTCGATAAACTATATCATATGCGTTAAGAACATGTATAAACTGCCACTTTTTAGCCTAATTTTTAAAGCCTCAGTGTTGTACGATTTGTATAAAGTTCATATATCTAAACAATATGAATTCAAATATCTAGGAATGAGATGGATTGACATAACTTACCAAAATCAATTGAACCACCTTTCACAAGCTGTAAAACAAAACAAAAAAACAAACAAAAGAATAGTTATTGTTGGGTCAATTTCAATGCCATTATAATATGCAAACGATGTAAGGGTGATATAATCTTATTATATTTTACAGCATATATAATCATGGTACGAATAAAACAATATTTGGTATACGAATAAACCAAAACTTTTTATTTATTTCCGCATCATTTGATGTCTTGTGGATATTTGTATCATTGGATATGTATAGTCTATTCTCATTATTTGTCCTATTCATACACTATTTCCTGTCAATGTATCTGTCAAATATAACGTATCTTATTCACAAAGAGATGTTCGGACAGATTTTATTCATCAGTATACTTCATCAGTATACTTTGTGTTTCTTTAGTCTGCTTTTGTCAATAATTCCTTTCTATAAACCAACATTTATATCCTCAATGCACAGCTATATTATAACCTCATTCGAACAACTATGCTGAAACATGGATTAGCTTGAACTTGACATGGTCTATGTTGTTTTATCAAACGTGTAACAGGATTTGGTGGATTAGATGAATACTTCTATCTTTTTATCAAAAAAACGAATGCAGTTTCAATATAAATATTCGATTACCTAATAACATCAAATTGTAGCGGATACTATCGTAAGGAATTTCTTTTTTCAATTAATGTTTTTGTAATACTATTACTACACGTACTATTAGTTGCTATTTGATCGATCATATTAATATTCATAATTGACCATACGAGACGGTTGAGAACAAAACTTTACGACAAAAGGGATGATTTGAGCTTTCCAATTGTGAACTTTTCATTTCTATGTAACAGCATTCAAGCAGCGTGAGTAGGTGGAGTATATATCTCCCAGTTGATACGATATTCTACAGCTTGTTTTTCCTATCATGATTGCCTTGATAGAAGATTGTTGCTTACATGGAAGTTATTAACATAAGAGTTCCAAGGGTTGAAGTCGGTCATTCGACAGTCTTACGGACGTCATCATGAGTTGGTTGACCGTTATCGACTATCTGCGTCACATGAGGGCAGGGCTCGTGTTGTTCATTTTTTTGTTTTTTATGTAGACAGTGTTTTGTGGATTTTTCCGTCTTATCGTCGTTTTTGAATTTTTGCCATGGCGTTGTTAATTTTATTTTCGTTTGGATGTCCCCTTGGATCTTCATTTTTTTTTACCCACAATGAATAAGATAAAATGTGTTGTTTTGAGTGTGTGTGTGTGTAAGTTTAACATTTTCTGATAAATATCGCCATTTAAAAGACGCAACATATACGATGGATCCAATAAACCTGAAAACACAAAATGGATTAAACAAAACAACTGTTTCTTTGTGTTGTGATTCGTCAAAATGTATTAACCTTGCATAGTCTGTGGATACTATCTTGTCCACTTGCTTCTATTGCTTCTTTGATGTGGTTAAATGTCATTGCAACACTATTCCGGCATTGTCTCAAAACTTCAAAGTTCCATTTCCGTGGATCATCAGTGTCTAACATATTATCAACATCAGTCGTCGACAATCCTAAGCGTATAGCAAGTTCTCTGACGTTATTTCTACTATACATTAGTGACATACGACGTAAGTGGATATCTGATGGCGTCACTTTCAAAAAGTCGTCATTTGTAACTGTATTGAAAAGATTGTATCAAATAGTATCAATAAAGATAAAAAAAATATATCATAAAATGAGTATTCTGAATCTCCAACTAAATTGGTTTTTTTGGGGCATTAGAATGTAATTACTTAAACTGGAGACTTCATGATAAATAGAAAAGTTGTGATATATAAATGACGGCAGTGGGTTTTGTAAGTTCAGTTTACTTTTGATCTTTTTTTCGTTTGTTTATTATTGAGCTGGATAAATAAAGCACCTGTCATAAAAATTACAAGTATTATTTTATTCGTCAAAAGTAGATATACGTCACACTTTTTATCAAATGTATCATTATGCAATGTCGTAAAGGACCACAACCCCACTAAACTAGAAAAAAACATGTACGTCAATCTTTTTATTTACAAAACTTTGGTTCTACAGCCTGTTGATACTCATGATCATTAGGACTTTTAACTTTTTCGTGTAAAGATCAATAGTATTTGGTCTGATCATTATCTTTATTATTTCGCCATTTTTTTTTGTTCTTGTGCTGTATCGTGTTGTCACAAAATGTTGATTAAATATTTAAAACATGATATCGAACAGATCATGCCCTTCAATTAACCATCCTGTATTTGATATTCGTACTATGTAAGTACTAGTAATAGGGACTAGGGAATTTTGATGTGAAGTTCTGCATCCAGCAAAAAAAGAAAAAAAAAAAAAAAAAAGAGGACTAGGTCACAGGCCAAAGTCATGTTATTAATCTTTGTTTTTTCTTGTTATCGCTACTCCCCAGAAAAAAATAATAGATTTCGACAAAAGGTGTTTACTTAATAATTAGAATCGACTGATTATTTCGGCTATTTGTCTTATTTGTAGTTCAAGTCTTGCTGATCATTTTTGCTAATTTAAGTTTCTATCTATCTATTATAGTTTTTCAGACATTAGGCAAAAACGCAAAAACGGTAAAAATCATTATCAAAGGGCAATTACCCTAATAAAAATTCGTCAGACGATTTCAAGATTTAAAAAAAAATATGTGTAGATCATGTCTTGCTGATCACTTTTGCTTGTTTAAGTTTCTATCTACCTTTAATAGTTTTGTGGTCGGTTTGTTGTCTCTTTGACACATTCCCTATTTCCATTCTCAATTTTATTTCAGATATTAGGCAAAAACGCAAAAAAATTATAATAATCGCCATTAAAGGGTATTAACTCCAATACGGAGTCTTCTGACGATTTCGACCATTGGACATATTTGTACAAATGTAGATCTAGTCTTGTTGAACTTTTTTGGTATATAAAGTTTTTCTCTATCTATTATAGTTTTTCAATTTAAGGCAAACATGAAAAAAAACGGTAAAATTCGTCATTTAAGGGAAATTACTACTATCATAAATAGTCGGACAGTTTTGAAGTAAACAGACAATATGTAAATCTAATCATTTTGAACTTTTTGACCCTGATAGGTTTTCTCCATCCATAGCGGTTTTCAAGATAATAGACCAACCTTGCATTTTACCCCTATGTTCTATTTTTAGACATGTCAGCCATGTTAGTTGGCAGGCGAGGTCATTAGACACATTTTTTAAACTAATTACCCTAATGATGATTATGGCTAAGTTTGGTAAAATTTGGCCCTGTAGTTTCAGAGGAGAAGATTTTTGTTAAAGTTAACGACGACGGACGACGACGACGACGACAGACGACAACGACGGACGACGGACGCCAAGTGTTGAATAAAACTCACTTGGCCTTTTAGTCCAGGTGAGCTAAAAAGGGGGCCTCGTTGGCCGAATGGTCTAAGTACTAGTAGTCGAAGTACTGTATCACTAGCCTGTCAACACTGAGGTTGTCAGGTCGAATCCCGCACATGGCAAGTGCGCTCAACTCCTATCTTAATTGACTATAATTTTCAGTTGTCCTACCGAAGGTAGGTGGTTCTCTCCGGGCACCTAGGTTTCCTCCACCAATAAAAACTGACCGCCAAGAAATATCACAATAATACCGAAAAAGGAGTTAACACCAATCAACCAATCAACCAATCAAAGTCGAAAGCCGCTTGTTGATCTGTAAATGTTCACATCTGTATCAGTTGGTCCTTATGGATAGGTGTTTAATTGGCAATCAAACCACATCTGATTTTTTTAAAGAAACAAAATTTTCGAGACCAAGGTTATTGATACAAATAACAAAATACATAAACTATTCTACCGACTCAGAATACAATACCTGGGCATCCTGCTTCACATTCATCTTCATTCTAAAAGAATAATCAATAAATGCACATTTTTCATCACAAACAAAGAATACTGACAGACCAATTGCACATTCAATGGAGTTTCATTTGAAAATGAATAAAATAGTTCAACGATAAAAAAGGTGGGGCAAAGTTACGTCATAATTTTGTCTTGTTTACAAATGGAGCCGATCGAACTTTTCGCTTAATCTGGCTCGATATCTTCATTCAGATGGGAGTTTACGGTTAAAGGTTAGTTATATATAAAAAGGCGATGATGAGTTTAAGTTGTGATATATTGGATTTTTTTCAATAATCAATTGGAAATCGAAATGTCATTGCGGACCCGACAGTCAATTGATTCGCAATGTCAGATTAACTTTCACTTCAATCGACACCTATGTTTCTGAAAAAGAAACCTCAAAGACCATTAAATGTCAATTCAGCTGTTTATAAATTTAAAATGAAGGTAATTTAAATGCGTTTGGGTAGTATGAGTGACAAGATCGAGCTCTTCTGCAATATGAAAGTCGTGTTTTGCCACCTTTTTATAACTTTTTTCAAAGACTTTTATAGTTCTACTCTTTGCCTTGTTTTTATTTTAATTAGTATCTGACATGAGAAAGTTCGTGTAAAAATCTAAATGTTTTTAATAAACCCATCATAAATACCAGTCTTAAAATATATCAAAAGTTTCTCTGCTTGAATTTTCTTGAATTAAAATACATTTCTTTCCAAATTTTAGCCTTTATCTGGAAATAGCTGGAAATAATGTTTTATGAGAGAAAGATTTATACAAGACATCTGAAAAAGAAGGATTAATAATGCCCTCAGTTTCAAGCCATGCATATCTGCCTTGCAAATTACTATACAACCCACTTCTCACTACACTCCATTTATAAATTCTATTGCATTTTGTTGAAAATATTTGTACAAATCTAGGGAGGTAAGCCACATAGAGCTGACTATGATGTATTGGTTTTTCCTATTGTTGAATTCTGTAAAATGGCTTGTAATTGCTTACTACCACTTCATTTTAACTCTGGTGATTAGTTGTTTCCTTGGCAATTTTACAATATTTCCTCATTTTTATACATATTTGGTAAAAAGCAATTTTGTAAAGACCATTTAACCTAATTTATATATATTCAATAATGATCAAATTATCAACTCTCTGGCTTCCTGGTGCCTGCCAAGAAATATACATTTTGTATGATTAACATTTGATAAATTTTCACATAACATGTACATTTGTATAAGGATGCTAACATGACAATTGTATCATTTTTATTAAAAACAAATAAATTATTTCTATTTTTTTCATTACATAGTCAAACCATTAAAGGGGCATTAGCTACGAGATATAAAACAATTTTTTTGTTCAATCAATAATGAAAGTGAAAAAAGTGAAATTATAATTCGCTTTTAGCAGCCAGTCAGGTTTAATTTTGTCAAAATAAGCTAAGAAAAATCGCTGCTGCATTATTCACTTGCAAGTTAGTAATTCGACCTAATTGAAGCCGTATTCATGTGACCTTCAATTTAACCCCTTAGCTAGAGATGGTTAACGCATAAACTATGCGTGTTCAGCTATCAAAAGGAAACGAATGTCAACATTGAAATTGAAACAAGAGGAAACCATTTGGTTGACTGATTCAATCCACAAAAAACCATTCTTATACAGGTAAAAACGATGATTAACATATTTGTTTAACCTATAACTTGAAATCAAACAGATATAGAAAAATCCAATTGCACGTGTTAGCTTTCGATTTCTATTTCTATCGGATTATATGACCGTCGGCAGTCTTCGGAGTTCACCTCGATGGTAAATTAAATGGCGTCTAGACTAAAATACACACTAAATGCGGGTACATATTATCGAATTCATGCAAAGTAAATTGTTTTTTTTTTTAATTTGGATATACGTTTTAGTATGTAATAAATCTAATATGAGAATTTGAGTCAAATCGGTGAACTTGAATTTGACAGCTAATTCCCCGTTTAAGGGAATTCATTCTATTATTATTTTCTTTATTATCCATACCGCATTTCTTATTTCAGGTGCATGTTAAGTTTTGGGAGCTGTCATTCTTGTGCGGGAAAATATATCTTTTTGAGAAATGTGTTGATTTTATTTCAATTGCTAACACGGGTTATTGCTTGATAAAATGTTGTTTAAGCAACACACATGATTCATTGTTCAGCTTTGTTGTATAAGTAGAAGATGTACAAAGCAAATAATAATATAGAAAAAAAATGGCTTTCCTGTTTCCACCAGAGGACAAATCTGTTTAAAAATACCAGTGCTCTCGTGAAATATATCACATTTAATATTACAAAAATAAAAAAATATATGTATTACAAATGAACATAGTGAAAGTGTTCATGTATATATTCGAATAACTTATAACTTTATCCATCTGATCTAAATTTATTTTAAAATTTGATGAAATTAAAACAGAAACTTAAATCTACACTTCTAATCAACCCTACCCCCAATCGTGAATTATCCTAAATGAATACTGCATAATGGTTTAATGAATTGTTTCCCTTGAAAGGAATACCAGTCCAAGAATTTTCTATTTTCGTACTACAGTTTAGATGAATATTGCTTCTTCTGTTCGCACTGGGCAGCCAATCCTTTTAATCTCTAGTTTTAAATGAAAAATTTCCAACATGAGTCCATACGATTCAGTGGGTTGTGATTGGAAGTATTTGCTTAAATTTGTTTAATTTATCTAATATTTTTAGATTCTGGAATTTATCTAATCTTTTTAGATTCTGGGATTTATCTAATCTTTTTAGATTCTGGGCAATTTGAAGCTTGAAATATTATTTAGACACTTGTCTACTGTTGAATACTATATCTTAAAATAAATATTCTATATTTGTTGATGAATTAAAAACTCATGAAACAACATTCCTTTGACATTTTTTAAAAAGCATTATGAATAAATTTGTTATCTGTCAGCATCCTACTAAGACCTTGGTTATTTTCTTTGCAGTTTGAAGATTGATGAATGCACCCTTACATGTATGTCTATATGATGGTTTGGTTGTGGGGTGGGGTCCCTCATTATTCACAATTCTTTACATTTTATCCAATTATTCTTTATTCTGTATATGTAAGTACCCAATTATTCTATAATCTATATATATATGTTTGAGCACATCATTATGCTTTTTTCATTAATTATTTTGCAATTTTTTTCTCCCTTCTTTTTTTTCCATTTATGATTTTTTTTATTCTACAGACCTCATTTAAACCCTCCTATATCTGTATGTTGTTACTTTACAGAATTTCATAGTTGTTGGTGTCAAAATTGGTATTGTATAAATAAGGACAGAAATAAATTATGGCTAAGATATAGGTATCGGCAACGATTTCAACTTGACGATTCAAATACAGGAATTTGATGAATTTTGCAAACTTTATAGAGTCGTATTTTTAAATCATTTAACGAAGTACTCTCAAGTTTTCCAACAATATGAACGGAATAATTAGTTTTTATTTTCCCTTACTTGAAGCCATATAAATGTTAGCTAAGTAGTATTTGTTTCTATATATAGAAAAGCTGTCGCCCACCATAATTTTGAGCTGTCATCTTCCGCATCGAGTCTTTGTTCGCGTTTTTTTTTAAATATAAAAAGATGATAAACGTACGTCGATGTATTGCTTAGACCATTTGGATACTATCTAACAGCTTTGTAACTATAGCCGATACAATGGTTTGCGTTTTTGTGTTTCTCAAACGTTTCAATTGCTGTTTTTGTTTTAGTTTTAACTTGGACATACGTTAATATAGAATTAAATTATATCTTCAAGCTTGATTCAAGACTGTTTTCCTATATGTTTGAGAGAGAATATTAATTGAATGTGCATATATATATATATATATATAATATTTTGCTTAATTTTCGTCGTTTTGTCATCAATACAAACCAATTCTTTATTTTCGTGAAGTGCAATTACAATGACAGAACTTCATTCTCAAAAGTTAACATTATTACCTATGAAACGACTAGCTCATTGTATGACTTAATTTGTCTTGCGTTTCATGGAACAATGCTTATGGCTCCGTCTTTATTATATTTTTATTCCTTAATGCGCTTCAATCTAGTACTTTATTTGGCCTTTTTAATTTTTTCGATTCGAGCGTCACTGATAAGTGTTTTTGTAGACGAAACGTGCGTTTGACGTACAAATTCTAATCCTGGTTTCTATGATTAGTTTATATTTAATTTTGAGAAATTGTGTTGATCGTGGTAGTCTTTGTTCAAAAAACATTTTTTGACGAATATGTGCCCTTTTTCTGTAAAACACAATGTAATTACATATTTCTTGTGTTCGATGTCTTTACAATTACAACAACGATACAACTTTTACTGCAAAATATTTAAAGAATTACAAATGTTCAATTTCAAAAATTTTAAACTACCATTTCATTTTATCGCATTCTAAGCTCACTGAGCAATTACTACTTTTAATGAATTTATAATATAAAAAAAAATTAAGTTAAATAACAAATGCATATATCTTAAATAATATATATACCTTTCCTGAAAACCACGATGTGATAATATGTATTTTGTGTTCAATGCCGTGAGCAGGACATATCCAAACTTCGCCTATGTTCGCTAGTTCGTTGACTTGGAGGATACATGGGTTATCTGGTGAGTTACAACATATGCTGGTTATAAAGGATGCATCACTGGTTTGCTTTAAGTCGCTACTTGTTCTTATATACAACTGGCTTATTCTCTCCAAGGCAGACGTTAAACATTCAGTTATGCTGGATGCAAGATCCCTCATTATTAATGAGTTCGTTCTGGCATGAACAAGACGGGCAATAATCCGCTCATCTTCGCAGAGAATGTACAGATCTAAAGAAGGATCAACGGTGAACACTCCAGACCTATGAAATAACATGTCCTTGTTGGTCTGTCCATACTTTTTCACTGCCCATACATAGAGACAGTAACTGATAAATCTAAAGGATAATGCAGGGGGTATCATCAAGGATGACGAGTGAAAGGCTATGGCTATATTTCTTAGTGTGAAACTAGCTGTTTGAAGGTATCCAGAGTCATCTTTTGTCCGTACCATACTTGCAATATAGTAGAAGTCAGCAGGAATACGTTTTTGGTCATTGTCGTATCTCTTTGGGTCTACCAAAATATCCAGATGGGTCATGACATCCAATAGATATTCCTTGTCTCTGTAAAATTTCTGATATTTTTTTTTCTTCCAAACTACTTGGATAACCTTTTTTGATATTACACCTGTCTTGCTCATGACATCCCACAACTCTTCTCTTTTTCTGTCACCTTCACAAAATGTTCTGTCAGTAACAATAGATTTAAAGGCATCAATAAGATGGGTTGGAGACAAAATTACATGATTGTCCAAGTTATGTTCATCAAAGTACAAAACCTTGCCAATAGAATGTTGAAACTTCAGAAATACCTTTAACTCTAAATCTTTCAGTGGTCTAATTGGCTGCCGAACGTTTATTTTCTTTAGATGCTCTAGTGTAATCAGCGGAATGTTGCGTTTGATCAGCGATGCAAATTCCAGTTCTAGAGGGATAAAGCACTTTGGAAGACGTTCGCCCCATGTTGGTTGTCTTTCCGTTTCTCTGATGATAGTATTCTTAATCTTAATCATTTCTGTGTCACATTTGTCTTTAGCATTTACAAATATCATATCCTCAATTACCAACTGATTCATAATTGGTGTTTTTTCAAACATCTGTTTGATATCTGCAAATAGTTTATGTCGTCTTTGTTCAACTTCATTCTAAAAAAGATGCTGAATACATAATGATAATGAATACATGTAAAGCTGCACCAACGACATTCTTTTGAAAGGAAACTAAAAGACTATACAATAAATTAGGAGCAACCGGTATTCATGAAACAGTACAAACACAGGGCACTTACAAAATAATTCGGACCGGAAATGGCCGTTTCGATCTTAACAACTCTTAAAAGACTGGACAATAGATTATTAAGTCATTGTCAGTAAATTTTCAGACTAATTAACTGCGGTTAATTCAGTACTGTTCAAACAATACTTGCTATTAATCTGTTCACATCAACAACATATACTGATTTGTCTGAAAACTACTGAATAGTACTGAATTGACATCAAGCGAATTGTCTGAACAGCACTAAATTGCTGTTTACTTCAGTAGATAAGTCTAAAAATTGAATAAAAGAGTAAACATGATTTAATAATTAATTATTCAGATTCTCATATTAAGATCAAAATGACCATTTAAGGCTAAAATTCATTGCAAAGAAATGATAAAGCAGATTCGAGTTTTCATGACAAATCAATAGGACTGGTAATATCGAGCCACATAATTTTGAAATCCAATGATTTTCGTTAGAATTGTTTGATATTTTTCATGGCGGGGCCTTTTACAGCTGACTCTATAGTATAGGATTTTCTCACTGTCGAAGACCGTACGTTGACTTATAATTGTTTGTATCCACGTTATTTGAATTCTTGTGAATAATTGTCTCATTGAAAACCATACCATATCTCCTTATGTATATGAAAACGTCGGAGATAATGCTTTTTTTGTTAACGTTTTTCATTTTTAGTAGCCACAACCCTGTCTTTTTTCTTCGATTGTGACATAACCGAATAAATATTATCACCGTAAGTATATTGGCCACGAGCAACACGGCGAGTTTCTCATATAAAATCTCCTTACCAAGCAGAAGCACATAAAATCACTACCAGTTTTTGGTATGGTACATGCTGCTTTAGTTTTCTATATAGTTTTTTGTCATGATTATTTGTTTGATTTGATTCTGGTATTTTTCTCGGCTTTTGATTTTTGATTGTCAGGTTGGTTTTCTCTTCCTCCTTTTATGATGAAATGGTAGCTTACACAGGGTCATAAAATGTAAAGCCAAATCATCTATAGTGAAGTTTGACTGAGGGATTTGGAACCTTAGTTTCCTAATGATTTCTTAATGTGCTAACAAAATGTATAATATGTATCATACCGGCACTAAAGAACTGAATTTTCCTTAATGACAACTAAGGGGTCTGATAGTAATCAGAAGCTGTGCCAACTCATGTGTAATTAAAACACATGATATAAAAGTAATGATTTTCCGTTTGAATAATTTAAATAAAATATTGTCTTATCTTTTGCTTCTCAAAACTTGTTTATATTTCTCTATATGTCTAAAATTATACATATATAAATAAGTGGTATGAGTGCCAATAAGACAACTATCCATCCAAGTCACAAAATGTATAGTTGACAGTATAAATGCATAATTTTCTAAAAGACACTATTTATGGTCTATTATGACATCATTAATATTCCGTTTGAAAAACAAAATGTTTTTTGTTTTAATTGATGGAAATTAACTGCACAACTTTCATATACTTACAGGTTTAACTTGATCCTTGTGGGTCAGAACAATCATAATTTTAGGATAACCCGGGATACTTCCTTTGCAATATGTTACAATCGCATTGATCCAGAATCTTAGATAATCTTTAATAATGAACAAACAACCAATCAACTGTCACAGAAAACAAAACTATTGAATTTATCTAAATGTATAATATCAACGTGTTCATTGCATTCAATAGATTTATGGTAACCCTTATATTTCCGTCAAAGAATTTATTCTAATCGTTATATTTCTGTCAAAGCAATTGGGGTTATATAAAGTAATGGTATGTCATTTGTGCGTTTGTTATGTATAAATCAGCGTCAGTACGTGTAGCAATGTGATGCATATCTTAATAGGGTACTTTCCTTTTAAATGTAATACATGATCCAATTACAGAATTTCTCTAAGTAGGGTTTATTAAAGACATATCTAGCCGACACATTAACCTTGTCAGTTCAGGGATTCATGATCAATAAAATTGAGAATGGAAACGGGGAATGTGTCAAAGAGACAACAACCCGACCAAAGAGGAGAAAACAGCCGAAGGCCACCAATGGGTCTTCAACACAGCGAGAAAATCCCGTATCCGGAGGCGGGCTTCAGTTGGCCCCTTAAAAATAATGTATACTAGTTCAGCGAAAATGAACATCGCACTGAACTCCGAAACATATAAATGAACCAAAATAAAAAAAAACCACACAAGACGAACAAAGGCCAGAGTTTCCTGACTTGGGACAGGCGCAAAAATGCGGCGGGGTTTAACATGTTTTGTGAAATCTCAACCCTCCCCCTATACCTCTAGCAAATGTGGAATAAAAAAAAAACACACAGTGATACGCTTATTACAATTCAATTTAAAAGAAGTTCCAGTCCGATGTTAGATAAGGTAATAGAAAAAACTAAGCAAAATGACAACGATAAACATAATTAACAAAGGACTACTAGCAGTTACTACATGCCAGCCCCAGACCTCAATTAAACTGATTAAAAGATTATGTCTTCATCATATGAAAATTAAGCACAATCCCTACCGTAAGGGGTTTAGTATCATACCATCATAAAATATACGAGCAGAACATAAACTGTTTCATGCTAACAACTGGTTTTAGAATAAATGTGTTTATTTCCGACGCAAAGACCCTATGAGTGAATTAATATTAGTTACAAAAAAATGCCATATTTCATGACTTGACAACAGTATCGTAACTATATTCCTTCTGAATAAGTCTGTTTAAAGGTTTGGTTAGCTTTTGAGGTGAATGACGACATTTGTGTGCTTTGTATAGAATATTACCATAAAAGATGGGATATGAAATACATGAACGTATAAGATGTCTGCACGTTGATCTATATTTAAAAAGGATGTCCTTGTACCGGTGATAAAATATAGTAAATTTTTTGACAAGTTTGTGATATCGAATTTCCTGGTGTAATAATTTATCAATAATACAGAAATTTCTTTCGTTTAAATCAAATACATTGTGACATACACGAGCGAATCGAACAATTTGGGATATAAAAACACCTAAAAATTGTGCCAGTGGAACGTCACCATCTAAAAATGGATAATTAACAATAGGAAATGGAAAATCATCTCTTTTATCGTAAATTTTAAGATAAAGATATCAAGATCCAGTCTACACATAAAACATTTAATAACTTCAACCAATTCAGCGTATAGTTAACGTTTGCTCTTGTAATAAAATGTGATATGGTTGAAATTTATTAACAAAAATACGCGTAGCAGTTAATGGATTAAACTTTTGAGGATCATAAGGTTTACTGTAATAACATAAACGGTACCAATTTTTCTGCACCAGATGCGCATTTCGACAATCAATGTCTCTTCAGTGATGCTCGAGGCCAAAATATTTGAACATCCAGCGTATTAAAAATATGAAGAGCTATAAACGAAATAGGACCAAACAGTATAGCTAAAGCCGGGAAAGGAATCAGAGCTTTGCATGAGGGAGATACATTCCTTAATTTTAAATGATTTCCAAAATGTAAGATTTCCATTTGTGAATGTTTTGAATTACCAAATTTTGGATTTCCTTCGATATGAAAATAAATAAATATTTGCAACATGATTCATTTATGATAAATATATCTTTTTATAATATGCCAGGTTATGGAAGGGTGTGGCACACACAAACAAGTTTAACCCCACCAGATTATTTATGTGCCTGTCCTAAGTGAGGAGCCTGTAATTTTGTGATTGTTGTTGGTTCATGTTTGTCATAGTTGTTTTTAATACATTATATTGTATGAATTAGGTTGTCGTTTTCTTGTTAGAGATGTTTCACGTTTTTTTGTCGGGACCTTTCATAGCTGACTATACGGCATGGGTTTTGCACATTGTTCAATGCCATACGGTGACCTTCAATCGTCTTTTATTTTAGTCGTGTGAGCTCTGGTTGACGGTTGTCTCATTTCCAATCATACTACATTCCCTCATTCTTCATGTAGTACAAACAAGTAAATTGTATATGTAACACAATCAATGACATTTGTGCTGTATCAGCCATCAATGATGATAAGTCATGATTGCAAAGGCTTTTTCAAACATCTTTTCTGCATTACGTCATGTCACCAGAAAATCTACTTGAGGTATATAATAAAGTGCAAATGAAATGGCATTTTCAATATCCTACACCGTTTTAACCCAGCAGATCTCTTGGGTTTTTAAAATTGTCTCAGGTTGATAAGGGTGTATTATTGAAAAGGCCATACTAGTATAAGATTTTCTTTTAAATACCTTTTGCTGTTTTAGGTCCACTTTTCCCTGGGATATACTGTTCATGTTGACAAGGATCGTCGAGGGTTCTACTTCCATCCAACACTATCATGTAAATAGCTCTATACGTTAAAAAAGTTTGATGTGTTGAATAGAAAACATCATGTCCACCAAAATCCCAGATAATTATAGGTGCTATCATTTTGTTATGTAACTGCCTTTTCCCAGCTTGAATAGACTTCTTTAAAAATTTCTCTTTTGTGATTGAGACTTTGATTTCTTTGACTGTTTTGGTAACTCCAAAAATATTTTTTAGCTTCCTGATAACTCCAGATTTAGTTAAAGTTTGTATGTGCATGTCACCATTTAACCGTGATTTCGAACATGTATCATCTAAAACAGTGTCATGCAGAGCTTCAATTAATTCTCTTTTATTCATGGAATCAGTATTTTCTTTTACAGTCGGGTAGTCATGTATTACTGGTTCATTCCGATTGCTAGGGCAATCCGAACTTTGATTGTCGTCAAATAATCTACCAGACTGCCTTTCCGCACCACGGATTATGTCTTGCATGTCTGTTCCACAAATACCAGAATAAACGGGTACTGTCTTTAACTGATGATCAGACATGGTTTTAACATTTTCAGTAATAAATGTTTTAGTAGACGACAAACCATCAAAGTCATACTCTAAAGTCGCATCGGAGGAAGATGGTTCATTTGATTCATGTTTAAGTTTTCCGTCAACGGCCGATAATGACACGTCGGGTATATATTTACTGGTATACGTTTTAATTGGTGATATTAAATTTTTCTTTCTGTTGTCTTCTTGTAAAAGAGATCTGCTAACAGCCAATTCCTCGAGTGAAAAATCTAAAATAAGAGATTATTAAAAATGTCAAAAGGTATAATGCATATAATCTGTGACCAGGTTCAATATACACATATTTGTCAAAAATAAGTTAATGGTTGGCAGTTATGGAACATCTGTGTCACAGATGACGACAGACATGTTCCAATTGTTGTTACCAAATCCCGTTCTAATTTCCACGAATGTGACTTACCGAATAAGACTTATCACCGGATTTGTACTTACATGAGCAACACAATGGGTACTTCATGTTGAACAAGATCTGCTCACCCTTCTCGAGCACCTGAGATCCTCTTCCTGCTCTTTTTTGATGGGGTTCGTGTTGCTCAGTCTTTAGTTTGTAATGCTGTGTTTCGTATATCGTTGTTTGGATTGTTGTCCCTTCCTTTTTTTGTCACGGCGTTGTCAGTTTATTTTCGACTTATGCGTTTGAATGTCCCATTTATATCTATGCCTCTTCATTAAGTGAAATCATATTAACTGTTTGGTTTGTGCGTTGATTTCTATTGATTGATTGTTATTTCTAAACTATCTTGATACATTACATTCAAGGTAAGTAATGTTATAAGAACAATGTAATTAGTGTAATGATTCAACATAGTTTCGCTTCAAATGACATTATATTTAATGTAATAGTAAATGGATGGCAACATGAAAATAAACGTTTCATATACTAGTATAATAATCAAGAACTTCAAATCGTAAATTCCTACGTTTACCTTGGAATGTTGCAACACTTTAACGGAAAATTCTGTTATTTAGTCTTGGAATGTACTATATTTGGATTGACCAAAATGATATTAATAAATCGACTGATGTTTGTATAAAGATACGCATTAAAGACCAATATCTTCAAAAATAGTTTGCAGATATATGATTGTGAGAAATGAAGTGTTTATAGAAATGTAAAGATTGATTTTTGTCTTGAGAATTATTTGAGCTACATTAATAATGTTCACATTCCTTCAAAACTACAAAGTGGTACATTTAGGTGAATTGTTGAAGTTGGTCGTTTCTCTGATATACAAAGAGAACTGTGTTTATAAGCATGTTGCAGCATGCAATGTGTTGAGAACGAATTTCATTTTGTATTGGTATGTCCAGCATATAGAGCAATCAGAAATATTTTTTTCCACGTTATTATTGTTCATGGCCGAATACTTCTAGATTATCTTGTGTGTTGAAAGCTATTTCTAGATCGCTTCCAATTAAGCTCTGTAACTATTTGAAGAATGCATGCAAATAGACATTTATTTATTCAATGACATTCAATCCAAAATCATAATATCGCCTCCAATGTATCAAATTATTATGGCCTTCAAAACTTATATACTTAATTATCAAATAAGTCGGAGTTTATTTCATAGGAAGAGAGATAAGAAGTTAGCAATATCTTTTAACTCTACGTTCCGCTATATAGATGATGTTCTCTCACTAAATAATACAAAATTTGGTGACTATGTTGAACGAATCTATCCCATCGAACTAGAGATAAAGGATACTACAGATACAGTTAAGTCTGCCTCATATCTTGACTTACTTCTAGAAATTGACAATGAGGGTCGGTTGAAAACAAAACTTTACGACAAAAGAGATGATTTCAGCTTCCCAATTGTGAACTTTCCATTTCTATGTAGCAACATTCCAGCAGCGCCTGCATACGGAGTATATATCTCCCAATTGATACGATATTCCCGGGGTTGTGTTTCCTATCATGATTTCCTTGATAGAGGATTGCTGCTCACAAGGAAGCTATTAAACCAAGAGTTCCAAATGGTGAAGTTGAAGTCATCCCTTCGTAAATTTTACGGACGCCATCACGAGTTGGTTGACCGTTATGGAATAACCGTTTCACAGATGATATCGGATATGTTCCTTATGTCTTAACTACAATACCCTTCCCTTTTCACGAATGTGACTTACCGAATAAGACTATTTACCGGATTTGTAATAACATAAGCAACTCGACGGGTGCCACATGTGGAGCAGGATCTGCTTACCCTTCCGGAGCACCTGAGATCACCCCCAGTTTTTGGTGGGGTTCGTGTTGCTTAGTCTTTAGTTTTCTATGTTGTGTCATCTGTACTATTATTTGTCTGTTTGTCTTTTTATTTTTGGCCATGACGTTGTCAGTTTGTTTTCGATCCATGAGTTTGACTGTCCCTCTGGTATCTTTCGTCCCTCTTTCATACTTAAATATGTGTGCCATATTTGACTTTATCTATTAAATGTTCATTTTGCATAGGAATACACAATATTTTGTTTGACCCGAAAGAAAAAATGTAATTGTGTACAGATGCTATAAGGAATGTGCATTTTCCTACATCTACAACTTGAATTCGTAAAAAACCCAACAACACCTAATTTCCTCAAAGATAAAACTATACCAGTCATTTCTTTTATATCTACCAAACTGTTGACATCAAAATTTTCAACCCCAAGGGGGAAGTAGAGACCATAACCCTAAAGAAGGTAAAATTCAATCTTTTAGGTTGTCCCAATTCAAATATAGTTCTGCTATAACCGTTTACTTTTGCATCGTAGAAAAAAAAAACAACAGACATTGTTGTTAACAAATCAGTAACAATACCACATTCCTGTTTTCATAAACTGGAAGAAGAACATCAGGCTACTGATAGTTTCAGTTGAGGATTATGTCAGAATATGGGCTTGGCTTGAGCCAGAGAAACCTAAATTGAACACTTTATGTGAATGGATCAAGGTATTCATGTCGTTTATTCAGACGTGCATTTAAATACTACGATGTACAATGAGTACACAGGGTTTGGGGTTTCTCAAGGAGCCTATGTTGTGGATGTATATTCGAATAGTTTTTATATGTATAAAAATATTATTTAGAATACTTTACAAAAGATCTAAAATTCAAAACTGTTACTCAAATTTAGAACATTGATTTAAAAAAATGTACATACGTTAAATATCACACCAAGTGTCATATTTATTACAAGGTGGATGAAATTAACAATAAAAGAAACTATTCCTGCAAATTAAGTGATAAAAGAAGCATTGCCATTGCTTTCAATTATGACTGACAAGTAATTTAAACTCCTCGAACTGTTCCATGTTGTTTTATGTCTTACCTTGCCTTCCACCAAGCCAATCCTTTGTTTGACGATCTATATATGAAAGCCCATTGAATAATTCTATCCCGTTGGTTGCAATCCTGAATCTAGAGGGTCGTTTTCCTACAAGATATCTGGCTATAGTTGTCTTCCCTTTACCCTTTTCGCCAACTAACATTACACGCGATTCAAAGTGTGGATAACTTTCTTCTTCCAAAAGACTAGAGAACACCTTCGCTGATTTCTTATCGAATTTTTTAACTTCAGTTGGGAGACCTGAAATGCCAAATGACAAAACTCTCAGCTTTATTTGTGATAAACCAACAATCAATATAGTTTTGCAGTCTCAATGTGAAACTTTCAACATAAATTTTGACTGCTTTGTAAGTTGACTTAAAAAATAACAAAGCAGACCTTTATTTGCTTTATAATTACAACTCGAATACCGTGTACTAGTCAGGTTAAGTTGACCCAAACTTCTATCCAGAACAGTCATATAAACCAGATTTTGTCCGGTAAAGGGGGTCAGAACTGTCAAAGACCAAAACTCCTACTATTTCTTTTACTGATAAGTGATGTCGTGATGATCATGACTTCTTCAGACAAACCCTTTATTTATCTTTATTCTTGATACTTGTACATTTTGTTTAATATTCATATGAAACATAATTATAGAAACTAGATATGCAGAGAATAGAATTGTGTTTTTGTTTGTCTTATCATTGTGGTTATGTAGAAATATCATGCACAAATTATCATCAACTTAAGTATTTTTTATACTTTTTTGTAGTAATTATTTCCCACGTTTTTAAAAAAAGCACTTGAATTTCAATCCAATCGATTGTTTCTTTATTGTCACATTAACCTGCTACACTAAGTTATTTTCTTAGAATTTTAATCGAAAGGTAGAGACAAACATTAAGAAGTTCATTGGTACGGCTAAACACACACTGGATTCGAAATAGCATTTGAATAGTCATTTTGTGTTAATATTACATAAATTATAAAAATCTGTCTAAGCCTTAAGTTAAGATTGCATAAATGTGCGAAGTCAGATTTTGCACAACGTTTATGACGTTTTGTTTTTCATGCTCTTCAACGATGTTTTTTTCTTAATTTGTTGGACTGTTAATTAAACGAAATACAAGTCTAATCTAGAAATATTGGATAATATAATATCCGTAAATAATCTACACAATGAAAGCCTCAATTTTCAATCTAAACACGGTTACTTGAAGCTGATATTGAATTGAAGTTAAACAAAAGAAATAGAATTCTTCTTTTTTATAGAAGATAAAATGGCCCAGTTGGTAAATGTCTATAAAACCAGGTTTAATCCACCATTTTCTACATACGAAAATGTCTGTACCAAGTCAGGGATATGACAGTTGTTATCCATTCGTTTGATGTGTTTAAGCTTTTGAATTTGCCATTTACTTAGGGACTTTCCGTTTAGAATTTTCCTTGGAGTTCGGATTTTTGTAATTTTACTTTTTTTGAATGTTTTACATCTCTTTCTATGTTTCTTTAAAACTTTAATGTAGGTTCATGATTTAGGATTTTATCCTCTAATATAAGTGTTCATACTGAAAAAATAGTATGGTGCTTCGCGATTTGTGTTAACTTTTGAAATAAAAACAAATTTTCACAAAACAGTAGATTATGGTAGGTGCGAAATTAATACATTTGGAAATTTAATACCCATAATCATAAATTCCATTAAAAAAAATCCTTAGACAGTCAAAAGATTAAAAGATTGATATTTTAAAGCGTGCATTTGCATATCTGTCCTGGAAACAGTTTTTGTGGAAAAATCCCAAAATTTGGCAATAATCTTATCGAATTGAGGAAGTCGGATACTCCTTTTCATGTTCAAGCGAGTTTGAGTCGATATTTTGTCTTGAAAACGTATAGAGCAAAACAAATTTTATGCATCGTCTCGCTTCAGATTATATTACATTAATACATTTAAGGCTACATGTTAATATAATATTAATAAGATATGTATGATTATATTAAAAATTGACAATAACAAAAAATAAAATTGATGGGTCGAGTTTTTCTAACATTTTAATGAACACAACGAGTAGATTTGTTTGAATAAGAAACAAATTGTTTCAGACTTTTATTTTAATTTTCATTCACGTATTTTCAATCAAAATTTAAGCATACTAGTGATTTTATTCACTAAATATACTTAAATGGAAAAATAGATTAGACCGTTGGTTTTCCTGTTTGAATGGTTTTAGACTAGTCATTTTGGGGCCCTCTATAGCTTGCTGTTCTGTGTGAGCCAAGGCTCCATGTTGAAGGCGTACTTTGACCTATAATGGTTTACATTTTTACAAATTGTGACTTGGATTGAGAGTTGTCTCATTGGCACTCATACCATCTTCTTATATCTATTCAACCTCTAAACATCTTTGATCTGCCCTTTAACGAAATATTTAGAATTTATTATAGTGTTTTATTAATGTTTGGAATTTCTCTTTAACACCCAACCAGACAACAGTTTTAAGTTGACAAACGGTATAAAGTACATTAAATAGTGCATTATAGCGCATCATCTCTACAATGGCTTCCATTTTCACTATAAAAAAATAGTTATCATAATTTGGAGGTAGTTTTGACGAAGTAGAATCCTCCTTGATTTAAAATAAGTTGGTATGATTGAATATGAGACATCTATCTAACGGAATCCAATTGACTAGAATTTAAGCAATTATCAGTAACCAAAGGCCTTCAACGATGAGCAAAACCCATACCGCATATTCAGCTATGAACGAATCGGCATCACAAAATGTGACACAATTCAGACGAGAAAATATACCATCTCATTTCTAAAAAAAGACCAAATACCGATTTTACAACGACAATCACTACATTTCATGCTCCCGACTTGGAACAGACACATACACAATCGGGCAGCATAACACATGTTTTAAATTGCTCAATTCTTCCTCAGCCTTGGAACGTGGACTGTATTACAACATAAGAGCTAACTACAAAAACAGTTGAAAATGACTTAACTCAACAGATCGACACAAAGCACACACCAAACTAAAAAAAAACATACAAAGTACCGATCAGAGGATGTGTTGAGAAATGGGACGTTTGCAATTGGGAAATTGAAATTATCTCGTTTTCATAGATGATATTTTAGTTTGAAGTCATCCATTTGAGTCAATATCATGGAAAAGATCATAACATGAATTATACCTCCTAATTTTGGTAGTATCCTTAATCACAAGTTCACTCAAGTATACCCAACATTCAAATATTCAACTTTCCCTTTCGCAACAGAATCGTTAACTCTGTTCCATCGTAACAAAACAATAACAATACAACATTCCTAAGTTCATCAACTGGAAGAAGAACATCAGGCTACTGATGGGTTCAGTTGAGGATTATGTCAGAAAGCAACCCAAATAGATATAATAGGCTAATATGACAATACTTTGGATCCGGCAGCCAATACTATGTAATCAAATGGGATAATCACACCTGTTTACTTGTATCTACACAATGAAAGCCTCAATTTTCAATCTAAACACAGTTAGTTGAAGCTGATATTGAATTGAAGTTAAACAAAAGAAATAGAATTCTTCTTTACCATAGAAGATAAAATTGCCCAGTTGGTAAATTTCTATAAAACCAGGTTTAATCCACCATTTCTACATAAGAAAATTTCTGTACCAAGTCAGGAATATGACAGTTGTTATCCATTCGTTTGATGTGTTTAAGCTTTTGAATTTGCCATTTACTTAGGGACTTTCCGTTTAGAATTTTCCTCGGAGTTCGGTATTATGTAATTTTACTTTTTTTTTAATGTTTTACATCTCTTTCTATGTTTCTTTAAAAGTTTAATGTTTTATGCGCTGGTTTATGTTAAGTTGTATGTGCTGGTTTATGTTGTTTTATGTGTCCGTTTTTATTCTGTAGTAAGTCACCACTTCGGTGTTATCATGTATATCTATTATATAGTCATTTTTATAAATTTACTGTTTACAAAAGTATGAATTATTCTAAATACTAAGGATTTTCCTATCCCAGACATATAACCTTAGCCGTATTTGGCACAACCTTTTGGAACTTTTGGTCCTCAATGCTCTTCAACTTTGTACTTGTTTTGGCTTTCGTACTTTCTTTTATCTGAGCGTCACTGGTTAGTCTTGGGTGGACGAAACGCGCGTCTTGCGTATTGAATTTTAAACCTGGTACCTTTTGTTAGCTATTATTCGTATGTTTCTCTGTCCTATATGTTCTCCCATTTATTTGTATTGTAGTCCTGTCATGTAATGTTGTCATTTTAATATTATATTTAACATTGCCATAAAAGCGGGAGGTTTGGCTAGCCACAAAACCAGGTTCAACCCACCATTTTTTCTTAAAATGTCCTGTACCAAGTCAGGAAAATGGCCATCGTTATATTATAGTTCGTTTCTGTGTGTGTTGTGTTTCTGTTGTGTCGTAGTTTTCCTCTTATATTTGATGTGTTTCCCTCAGTTTTAGTTTGTAACCCGGATTTGTTTTTTTTCTCAATCGATTTATGAATTTCGAACAGCGGTATACTACTGTTGCCTTTATTTAATGTAGGTTCATGATTTAGGATTTTTTCCTCTAATATAAGTGTTTATACTGAAAAAATAGTATGGTGCTTCGCGATTTGTGTTAACTTTTGAAATAAAAAAAATTTTCACAAAACAGTGGATTATGGTAGGTGCGAAATTAATACGCATAATCATAAATTCCACTAAAAAAAATCCTTAGACAGTTAAAAGATTAAAAAATTGATCTTTTTAAAGCGTGCATTTGCATATCTGTCCTGGCAACAGTTTTTGTGGGAAATTAAAATTATCCCATTTTCATAGATGCTAGTTTAGTTTGAAGTCATCCATTTGAGTAAATATCATGGAAAAGATCGTAATATGAATTATACCTCCTAGTTTTTGTGGTATGCTTAATCACAAGTTCACTCAAGTATACCCAACATTCAAATATTCAACTTTCCATTTCGCAACAGAATCGTTAACTCTGTTCCATCGTAAGGTGTTTACATATCTCGATTGATATATTACGCACATGCATGTTCACATTTCTCCTACTATGAAATGTAAAAACGGAATACAGATATTTTGAAGGATCAAAAGTTTGCTATGAAGCTTTAAATTGATGAAATGGAAAAAGGTAATTATTAAGATATATTTAAAAAGTAAAATAACAAAAATACTGAACTCCGAGGAAAATTCAAAAAGGAAAGTCCCTAATCAAATGGCAAAATCAAAAGCTCAAACAAATCAAACGAATGAATAACAACTGTCATATTCCTGATTTGGTACAGGCATTTTCTAATGTAGGAAAAGGTGGATTTAACCTGGTTTTATACATGTTATAGCTAGCTAAACCTCTCACTTGTATGACAGTCGCATAAAATTCCATTATATTGACAACGATGTGTGAACAAAACAAACAGACAATATAGGTATAAATGTCAAAAATAGGGGTACAGCAGTCAACATTGTATTATTATCTTAATCACTATAAAAACAAACAAATATATTAACAGACATTTACCATGGTACAATAACACAATGACGGGATGTATAAGTACAGAGCTACATCATATGTAACAAAGAAACACAAAAAGGCATACAGACAAAGCACACCAGCAAAAATGAAAGAAAAGAATACAAAAATTATCATAGAACAGTAACACAATGACGGGATGTAGAAGTACAGAGCCACGTCAAATGGATACCACCAAAAACAGACAAAACAGTAAAAGTAATAGTCATAAAGACAAATAAAAGAATACTATAACACGTTATTAAGATGATAAACAACGTCAGTTTCAAGAATCTATACTTCAAGACCATCGTGTATTATTTGTGAAGTTGATACGGAATATTTATCAACGTTCTATGACATACCCCTGGTTCATCAACTTTCTGATCAGACACTGGTGACGTTTTACACAGTATGAGTAGTTGCTGCATGCTCTTGAATACCGAATAAGTTGGGAAATGTATCTCCCATATGCAGGTGAAGTTGGTATATTGCAACAAAGGTTGGGGAAATTGATAATTTCAAAATTAAAATCGTCTCGTTTGTCATTGATTCTGGTACTGATATGACCGTGTATGTCAAATTCGATGTATAAGTCCAAAAATGATGCGGAGGAAACCGTGTCTGTTGTTTCTTTAATTTCTAGTTCTGGGGGATTTATAAATGGAACCCAATCAGAAAAGTTTGAATTATTAATGGAAAGAACATCATCAATATATCTGGATGTGAAATTAAATGACCTGGCTTCTTTGATCTTCTTGTTTTTGACAAGTGTCTAAAGGAACTCCGATTCATATGAAAATAAGACGAGGTCGGCAAGGAGAGGCGCACAGTTCGTTCCCATAGGAATGCCGACAATCTGTTGAAAAAGTCTACCTCCAAATTCAACACATATGTTGTCAATAAGAAACTCTAGCATACTGATCACTTGTTTCTCCGTGTAGCATGTTTTACCTTTTTGTTCTCTATTAACAAAATATGCTGTATGGTATCCCAAAGTAATAAATTTATAGCGTATGCTACCATTTTTATGTTAAAAAGCATTGTGGATTATTTCTATTAGACGATTTTTCAATTTCACATGGGGAATGGTGCTACATGTATACAGGGTTGAAAAATCTAAAGTTTTGATAGAACTTATTTCAGAAAAAAATCGAGATTGAAAATCATTCAGAAGTTCTTTAGAGTTTTTTTAGAATCCACATATGGTTAATAACACTACGCGAGGAAAACAGTTTCACAGTATTTCCGAAGACCCTCTTTCACTGCGGACAGAGTTTTTGTCAATCTAATGGACAATTCTTTAGTCGAACATGCAGATGAGCCGGCAATGTACCGTTGTTTGTACGGAATTTTGTGAAGCTTAGGTATCCAAATGATCGGCATCTTAAAAATTCCTTGTTGTATCGTATCGTTCCTACATTGTATCGTTATTAATTTGGCTTTCAAGTTGATTTTATTTAAGCGCCGCTGAAGACTCGTATATAGACGAAGCACGCATCTGTTGTAATGAATAGTTAGCCTGGTTTCTTTTTGTGTGTTTTTACATTTCTTCCTTAGGCATTGAAGGTATTTGCATTAATTGCAAAAAAAAAAAAAAAAAATGAAAACTGCCGAAACATCCTCATTTACAGATCTTGTCTTTAGATATTTTAAATACTTTGATTTGAGATAGACCCTTACCAATGTTTCCCAAAAGATATTTTGCTATATGACATTTTTTCAAAACTTAAATTATATTGCGGGGTAAAAAGCTTTATTTATCAGAGAGTGCAGATAATTTTCTTATCGGAACGGCCATTTACGACTTCATTTCATTTTATTTGTTAATATGTGCTAAAAATTCAGCACTTCCTTTGTAGTTTATAAAAAGCACAATTTCAGTACTAATTTAGAAATATTTTAAAACCAGACAAAACAAGCTTATTATCTAAACAGTAGTACATTAAACACCATAGTAATGATTGACTTTTTTTATTCAGCCCTTTCTTATTTTCATTCCTGCGTGAATCTGTCATATAAAGATCTGCGATCATGCAATGTTCGAATTTTGTTTAATACTACATAAATTCTAATTCAGATTTTACATATATATATATGGTTGTGGTTAATGCTTAAAACCTATATTAGGACCATTGTCTATGTCATGGATGCTAGTGTGTATTGATGGATTTTTGGGTTTAAAGTTAAAGGCAAAATAAACCATGAAACAACAAGATCTACTGAACACCTGTTACAAATTACTCACCAGGTAAAAAGGTCTTTTCATAATACTACAAAACAGCAAGAAGTCTTAAATGTTGGTGTTTACTTAATGCAGATTTATAAAATAAAATGTGTTCAAATTATCAATAAAATAATCAATTTGATATTGTTTTAATAGTGATTAAGATTATAACATAATTTTTTACTCCATTTTTTGACATGTTTATGTCTGTTTGTTTTGTTCACACATTGCCGTCAATGTAATGGAACTGTATGCGACTGTCATAAAAGTGAGAAAATAAGCTAGATAAATTTTTTTTAGATTTAATCAAAACTTTCTACATAAGGATTTAAATGTACCAAGCCAGGAATACGACAGTTGTCTTCCATTCGTTTGATGTGTTTAAGCTTTTGATTTTGCCATTTGATAAGGGACTTTCCGTTTTGAATTTTCCTTTGAGTAATGTATTTTTGTTATTTTACTTTTCATGTATATATTACCTTTAATATCTGTATTATTTCCTCATCGATGGTCAGGTCTTTTGGCGTCTCCCCCTGAATAACAATACATTTTGTTAAATGGTTGAATATATACCTATATATTGATTGCTGCTGCAATTGTTTTGTCATAATTTTTATATTACTCCAGCGTTAGGCAAATACAGTGGTTGTATCTGAAAAACTAATCCTTTGAAAAACTATGTGTCCCATAAAAGGAGTTGCACTGAAACACATAAGTGGTTGTACAGTGACATCACTCTCACAGGTTGTGAGCTGACATACATGTTAAACCCCACCTGATTCTAAATGCGCTTGTACAAAGTCACGAGCCTTTAATTCAGTGGATGTCGCTGGTTGCTGTCTGTCAAGTTTGTTTTTCATTTATTGTTGTATCATAAATCATTTTTTACTGATATATCGGAACCGCACTAAACATGCTTAAGCAAGTGTACTATTTGATAATTAATGTTATGGCCTGGTCGAAGGCATGTTTGTTTAGTCCAAGTAGATTTCAAATTTCGTTTAATGCTTGTATGAGAATAATTCAAAGTAGTTCGTTTTAAATTTACTGAATTCAATACTGCTAAGTACAGCTAAAAATGAAGGATATAAAAATTCAGATAAAATCAATATAAATTCAACTAACCAAGATAATAACAATAAATGAGGCTGTTAAAAAAAACACTTAATCTACAATTGATCTTACAGTCTTTAAATAATTGTCGACAAAACCATTTGTTATGCGAGCGTAAACAAACAGTTGGTTACAGTACAGTTTATTCCATTACAAATGATTCTATTTACAGCCTTTGCAAGTTTGAAGTCTAGTAATAGACAACAAGTTGGACAACTGTAACTTCACAGTGAGAAAATAAGCTAGATAAAAAATTCACAAGGTACAGGTATAGTTTTAGTTAAGATATGTCTGGTCTTAATGCAAGTCATTGATCACCACTAGCCTATTAAGTACACAAATTTTTAAAAACAACTTCGTTCGTTCATGTAACAATGCGGATTTGGCTTATGAGATATCTGAAAATGAAGGACAGCATTTTATAGATATATACAAACATTACCACTGGTAATTACCTTAATATTGAGTAGCAATGGGTCACCGTCCTTTTTTAACAAATATTTTACCATCTCATAGTTGTAATTCCTAGCAGCTTGATGTAACATAGTATTTCCATACTTTAAAAAAGACAATTATTAATTAAATTATAGAGAATTTTGATTTGTGCTATGCATTGATTCAATATTTTCTTTCGATTATCTGTATAAGGGTTAGCCACTCGAAAGCCGTGAATTTTTTTCAAATGTAATGATATGATAATTTTTATTACAATGTAAGTGTATTTCATTTTGCGATAATTTCTATTAATCGTGCTACTTCAAGATTTTACTTTCTGTCAGTGACTTTTTATGTTTCTTTGATACATATGACGTGTCTCTGTACTTTTAACATCCCGCCATTGTGTTATTGTTCTATTTTAATTTTTGCATACTTTGAACGACAAATTATTTTATATCTCTACCTGTATGACTTTTACATTCTGACGTCAAACACGCGATTCTACGCCAGAGTTAATGTTAAAATAACGATTCTGTCCCAGTGCTTAACATCCCTCGATCCTTAATGGGTTGATTTGGCATACATAAATGAAATACAAAGATAAGTAAGCAATGAACGAGGTTGTTAAATGTGATATATACTTTTTTGTGCTTCTTTGTTAAATATTTGTTTGTTTTTGTTGTGATTAAAATTGTGAACGTTGTTGACTGCTGCACCCCTATTATGACATTTTTACCAATTATGTCTGTTTGTTTTATTCGCGCATCGTTGTCAATACAATGGAATTTGATGCGACTGTCATACAAGTGAGAGGTTTAGCGGTTCAATCCACCATTTTCTACATAAGAAAATGCCTGTACCAAGTCGGGAATATTACAGTTGTTGTCCATTCGTTTGATGTGTTTGTGCTTTTGATTTTGACATTTGATTAGGGACTTTCCGTTTTGAATTTTCCTCCGAGTTCAGTATTTTTGTGATTTAACTTTTTGCTTCATTTAATTTGCATGTATTCATCGAAATATTTGTCCTATTCACATGCAGTGAGAAAACCCCATACCGTATAGTCGGCTATAAAGGCACTGAGAAGAAAACATTTAAAAAAAATCAATTGAGAAAACTTACGGCCTAATTCATAACAAACAAAATACGAAAAACAAATATGACAGACAAGAACCAATGACAACTACTAAACTATAGGCTTCTGACTTAGGACAGACCCATAAAGAATGTGGCGGGGTTCAACATGTTTGTGAGCGCCCAATCCTTCTCCTAACCTTGGACAGTGGTGTTGCAGCACAACATAAGAACAAACTATAACAATTCAGTTGAAAGTGCTAAACTCATCAGGTACAAAGCATAAAAAACATATAAAAAACACAGACAGGACATGGTATGGTATTTATATATCCCTAACAAAAACAAAAAAAAGACACAAAGTACAGAACTGAGAGTACTCGCAGTTACTGACAGTTAGTTCAAAGCCAATAACAACTAATATAACAATCATGTATCTAAGACTAAAATATAAATCAGTTTACATCCAAAATCCAATGGATATACTGAACAGTCAGCTATAAAGGTCCCGAAATAACAAATGTAAAAAAATCAAACGAGATAAGTATTAACCGTATTTGTGTAAAAAAAACCCCAAATATTACGCTTATCTGCGTATTTGCAATTATAGTGATAGGGTGTAATGTAGATGCTTACATTTTCATTTTGCATAGATATTTTGTATTTGAATGAACCACTCGAAAAATTACTGGAGATTATTAAAAGTTGAACAGTACACATCATCATTCTATTAATTAAAATGAGAAATAATCAGCGTTACAAAAATAAAATTATTTCGCAGGTCTTCTTTTATTTTTACAGTGCATGCGATTTGTGTTTATTTCAGTAAAGATTTAGATCCGGACAACCAAATATAATAAACTACCACCTTCAAAAATGATGATTAATATTTCAGTAGGAAAGCCATTTGAAGAAAACTGAATCTAACGACGTGACCGAAATAAAGCTTTAGAATATTAACGCTCTTAAGATTTTTTTTAAGATTTTCTCTTAAGAAAAAGAGAAAGTTGAAAAAAAATCTTGTGAAAATAATTACGGAAAACGGTCCTTGTGATTAATATCATGCATAGATTTGACGACGTTTAAGTTTTTATTTTGCGAATCAGTTGATTCCATTATTAAATTTTCATGACGTGCATCTCTTTGAAGCTGACCAAATTCAGACTTTCTTCCTTTTTAATGGAGTACATGACCTGTTATTTGCTGAATTCACTTACGTGTTTTTTCCCAACTTTAAACAGTTATCATTATTTCCACTGGTACTAGTGTAAATATTATGTTTTCTTATCCATTGTATGAAGACAAAAATATTCGTAGTTTAGATTTAATCTTTTTAAGGACTGTTTAAATAATCATTTCGTTATTCACTGCGTAAGTTGATAAAACTCCGATATTGATCTTTGAGTGTTTAACTGTCCAACGCAAAGATATTGGGTTATCCTATATTAATGAAAATTGCAATGGCACATGGCATTAATGCTCATTGATTAAATATGACTGAAAAACACAGATATTATTCGTTTAGAAATAAAAGCGATACTTTTCGAGGTTTTCATAGAAATTAGTTTTTGATGTAGTCATGGTAGAATTGCTTGTCCTGTTTATAATAGATTGAAAAAAGTCAGTTAAATAATAAATGTTAAGGTAAATCAAAAACAATTTCAAGCTTTTTACATTGATGAAGATCTTTTGGATTTTTCATATTTAAAGTTGCTTAATCGAATGTCATCTTGTCTACATAAAACGATGTAAGCACCAGTTGAGCATTTGAAAGCCGGAAACAAATTTAATTAAACAGAGAGAACCTTTATACCACAGTTTACACGTTTATATGATTTGTCAAAACATATAAAGGCATATTATTGCAAGACAGCATAGTTATATAGGTAATCCTCAAATCTGTGTCCTTTTCTTAAATCTATGTCTAGTCATTCGAAAATCTATGTCCGTGTAAAAGTTTGGACTCAAATCTATCAATAAAAAATGTAAAATAGGACACAGATTTCAGAACCGTACATAGATTTAAAGCCGGACATATATTTTATGCTTAAATATATATATATAGATTTGAAACCGCTGCAGGTAGAGTGATTAATTTAAATTATTAAAAATATTGAATCAGCATATGCAGAGTGGAATATTTCTACTCATCTATAAAACTTAATTAACTCATTATGGATACTAGGATAATAACAATGTGTACGCCAGATGCGCGTTTCTTCTACAAAAGACTCATATGTGATACTCAAATCACAAAAGTTGAAAATGTCAAAAAAAATGTATAAAGTTGAAGAGCATTGAACACCCAAAATTGTGCCAAACACAGCTAAGGTCATCTATTCTAGGGGTAAAAAATCCTCAATATTTCGAAAATTCAAATGATAAGAAAGACCTGTTTTAGTTTGTCGATTTTCCGTCTTCCAGACATTAAAAATCAATATGACTCTCTTCCCTAATTGTGCTATGCGAACTGTAGTATGTTTTCCTCCCTAATAATTATTTATTATGTGGAATAATTGGTTTACAAAATGATTCAGGATGTCATCTTTGTTAAAACATTGTTTTTTTTTAATTTATGCCAACTCATTCCATTGTCTTGACTCCCAGATAAGTCAGCCCATAGCAACCTCGGAATATTACAAACTCAGTCTATTGCAAAACTGGCCTCCTCTAAAAGTCGATTTTTATGCAGCTTACATATTTAAATCTAAGAATTGAAATAAAAAAAAAATGTGTTCTAAAAAATGATTGTTAAAAAATCTCAGATTGGCTTGCTAATATATCTGGTATAAACATGTAAGATTCCGGAGAAATGGTTTAATCTGGGTATACTTAATGTAAAGATCCTGTAAAGATATTTAAAGCAAATCATGTCAGTAGCAAAGTTCTGACTTCTGAGCTGATGATACCCTTAAAGGTATCGATCCAGTGCTGTAAAAATTGAAAACACGTTATAAACTCTATATAAACTATATAGACTAACTACATGTTAAATCAGGCTGAATAATTTAAAAGAAAGTATCAGTGGGATGTGGATATAGATTAGCATGTATCCTCACTAATTTATACATGTTTAGACGGCAAAGTGATTTTTTGGAAAGTGCAATGAAATGAACATGGAATTATAAAGTATTCACAGACATACCAATCATAATATTTCCGCACTTTTTTAAGAAATTTTCCCGCAAGGGTGACTGGGGAATATAAATGTGGTCTCAACGGGTCTTCTTCCGACCGGCACTAAAACATTTGCCAAAGTGTGGCGTTCGTTAGGCTGTGCGTGATTTACAAGAAAGGAGCCACGTCCACTAAGAACAACAATCAATCAATCATCTTTAGAAACTTTGAAGATAACAAGTGGCAAACATGCACCTCAATAAAACTAGAGACAAATTTAGGTTTTATCAAAAGATAAGAGATTCATGTTTCACTATTTCACCCATCCATCTTCTGACGGTCACAGTCCGATAGTAAGAAACAAAGTCAGAAAACGCATTTAGACAGAAAGATATGCAGAAAAAACAGTCAACCTAACTGAGTTTTTTTTTGTTATAGAAAACAATAGATGATAATACGAATACTAAAAATCCCCGATAAATCAAATGCACTAATTCAATTCAGTCAGGAAGCTACGGGTGTGCTGTAGTATGGTATATACATAACCCATCTTTCTTTTTCTCTTTCACATTTTCCTACTCTCTTTATGCTGCTAACAGCTAACGATTTCTTTCTGTATATCCCCGGCTCTCTCTCTCTCTCTCTCTCTCTCTCTCTCCGGTATTGTTGATGAAGTCTTAGATTTTTTTTTATATTTAAACAGATCAACAGATGTCAACTGTACTATCATGATCATTGACATGCTTTTGTCATTTATAAGGTAAGAAGTAGTTAAATACACGACCATCGCTTTATAATCAGAAGACAAAAGACCAGGTTGTTGAAAATATGATTACGATTTACCATTTAAAACTTACATTGTCTTGTAGATTCTTGTCACATCCATATTTAATTAAAATCTTTGCTATATGATTATAATCGTGTTTGACAGCATCGTAAAGTGCAGTTCTTCTTTTCTATAAAATAACAAAATCTTCAAAAAAAGGAAATTTTGAAGATGACTTTATTGGAAATCAGTTCATAAATTGTGAATACCATAATGTACAGGAATTAATCATCTTGGACGCACTGGTTAAGAATGTCGTCTTCTTTCGATTGAATAAACATGCACTGTTTTTGGAAAGCTATATTGTGGCGCCACAAATAAGTGTTTTAATAAAAGCGATAAATATAAGAGAATTGTTCTTAACATACTGCTCGCATTGATCAAGATTTGCCTTTTGTATTGTAAATGATCCACTGTCATAAAAAATCGGTCTCGATGATACCTCATGAGTGTTTATTTATTATAATTAACATTGTTTAAGTCGTTTCAAAGTATATGTTTCATTTATATACTATTTCTTCTTACCACATTTTTTTTATCAAATTGTATTGGCACTGAAAATCAGTACTAACGTACAGAAAAGCAGAATTAATATAAGGTGTTTCAATATAAGTATATGTTTGACCAGTCTATTTTCCTTCATTGCATTTTAAATTTACAATAATCAGACACAAGACTACACTTAACAATAAATCATCCATTTAAAAAGAGGTTTGTTTCCCAAAGTAATTTCAATTCATAGCTATTTTGAAGCTTTTGATTGAAGGTGTATTTTTGGAACTTTAAGGAAAATATAAAACGTAAACTCCCTTAACGATTGGCAAAATCAAAACTTCAAACACATCAACCAAATGGAAAACAACTGTCATATTCTTGACTTGGTACAGGCATGTTCTTATGTAGAAAATGGTGGATTAACCCTAGTTTCAAAGCTAGCTAAAACTCTCACTTTTATGACAGTCGCATACGATTCCATTATATAGACAACAATGCGTGAACAAACCAAACAGACATAATAGGTAAAATGTCAAAAATAGGGGTACAGTAGTCAACATTGTGTTATAATTGCAATCACTATAAAAACAAACCAATACGTAAACAAAGAAATACAAAATGGCATATAGACAAAGCACATAGGTAAAAAGGAAACACAAGAATATAGGAAATGACCACAGCATGCGCACAACAACACAATGGCGAGATGTACAAGTATTGAGCCATCTTTTTCTACCACATACCGTGTTCTGTAAATTGTAATCAATACCACTGTTAATTAACAAATGGACGATTTTTGTTTTCCCATTCCATACAGCAACATGAAGTGCAGTGTTACCATGCTGGATAGAAAAACATATAACAATCACAGTAAATGCAAAGAATTATTGAAAGTAATTCATGGAATCAAGTTAGGAAAGCAGAGTATTGCACCCAGCGTGTATTCAGTCTGGTGGTTGATATCATATTTCAAAAATAAATACTTTATGAGTAAAAACACACACACATATATATATATATATATAGATATAAGTCTAAATTTTTGCACAACTGTACTAATAGAAGATGGTAATATACGAAGATGATGTTATAAAATCGTGTTGGAAAGCTTTTGGATAAAGGAACTAAATGTACATACTCAAATGGCATCTATAAGAAATAATAGCAGTTTTATTTTATACTCGTTTTAACAATTTGGGATGTATATATACACAGTCACGTATATTAAGAATTGAGTTTTGTTTTATTTTATGATGTTCAAGATTTGGGATTATATCAATAGACCAAAACTTATCTGTATTATTGAGCTATTTTACACATATAATTAGTATTGTTAAAATTATTGACACTGACGACGGCTATTTGTTAAGCCGAAATATTTGTCGACATGATTTTATAACATCATCGTCGTATATTACTATCTTCCATTAGTACAGTTGTGCAAATCTTTAGACTTAATATATATTTTTTTTCCTTATCTGCGCAGTATCGTCTGTTCTAGACGATCTGGTACATATTAAATTTGCTAGTTGGTCCTTTTTATAGACTTCTATATATATATATGCACCTTAATGTAGTGAGAAAAATAAATCAGCAAGACATCCTTTTTGAATTGAGCAAAACAATACACCAGCTTTAACATTGAAAAACGATTATATATCATACTACAGAGGTAATATACTGCTATTGTTTAAGTTGGAAAATCACACTTGTCGTTCTTGATTTTCCAAACTTGTTAATATTGTTTGAATTATAATTCTGATGTTTTCATAACGAATTATCTTAGACACATACAAAATCAGGAAGTCTTTTTTCGAAGGCGAAAGCATTTCACTATAAATGACCTTTGCAAGAATCAAAATGTTTGATCTATTTTGAGAGGAATCATCAAAATCCTTATAAAACACCGGAATATTTTTTTTAACATAGTTTACTTCTACTGTCACTGACACGAAACAAGAAAAAGAAAACTTGCCAAACTAGCTTCTTGTTTGTATTGATATGTTCACACGAGTCAAAACCTTACCAAAACGACATTTGGTATAAGAGGTCTTTTCACATAGAGTTTTGGGTAGGCATTATGTTTTCAAGTAAAGCGAAAGCTTTTATTTATGCTTGCCAAAACACTGTGCAAAATTTCTATTTTAGATCAAATAAGTCAATATGGACATGTTTATGACGTCATAGTACCAGCAAAAAGGAATATTTTTACAAGAAGTCAATGTAAAATAAAAAAAAGAACAAAATAACAAAATTATGAACGAATTGAAAACTCATCCTATCTTTTACATATCAGGGGTTCTTTTCTGATATGTAAATAATAAATTTCACTGATAAATGATAAATTAGAGGCAACAGTAGTTTACCGATGATAAAAATAAAGTATTAAACGCAAACTTAGGGAATCGCAAGACCTGCAAAAGGGGCGAGACCGGTTGTGTCGACAGGGTAAGCTATGTCTGCTATGTATGCAACATCCATAATGAGAATCCATACTCATTCATTTAATATGTCACAATCCGAAATAGGACACAATCGATAAATCTTATTTTCCTTTTTTACCAATTTCGGATGCTAAAAAATACAATCGAGCAACCATTGGCTACACTCTTCTATCAAAATAATAAAATGCTTGATTTAAATAAACATTTTGGTGAACCGTGTTTGTCTATAAAAGTAAACAATGTGGTCTTCAACATATACGTCAGAATGTATGCGAATAATCAGCGACAACTATGATTTTCACCATCAGTGTGTGTAATTGTTAAGTCACTGTACCATTTTTTCTGGTAGTGCGTGTTTAAGCTATTCGTTGTTTATATACTATTATGAATTTCAACAAACGTTGATGGTAACACCGGTCGTGATAGCAGGTGATCTAGGACGGACTAAACCGGTCGGGATATCAGGTGCTCCAGAATGGACAACACAATTCATGATATCAGGTGCTCCAGAATGGACAACACAGGTCGTGATATCAGGTGCTCCAGAATGGACAACATATATTGCTCCACATGTGACACCCGTCGTGTTTCAAGTACTTAAGTGATTTTTTTTCTTAGTTATATTTTACAATTTAAATTTAAAACAAAAGTAAGATTTGACAACAAATGTTTTAAAAGTCTCATTCTTGTCTTGTTACCTCATTGTAACAAATCTTTATGCTTTCGGGACGTCAAAAATATCTAAGGAAAATAGTGTCAGGTAACCAAACTGTACTCATTTAAGCTACTAAATACCTTAAACTTGATATTAACAAGACTACACTAATTTGTCGTTCTCATGTAGACTACAATGTTTGCAACATAAGAGATCACCATTTGACAAATTATTAATCTTTACTTGTTACAAATATCCTATAGATCTACTACTTACATTTGTCTGCAAATTTATATCAATACCATTGTCAATAAGCAAATGGACGATTTCTGTATTCCCTCCTGTTGCAGCGTTGTGAAGTGCAGTCAAACCAATCTGGAGAAAGAATCATGTTCCAATGATAAATAGAAGAACTAAAGACATAAGCATAACGAAAGTATAAATTTGAACGTCCATTCAAGCAGGTAGGTGAAATCAAATGTTATGGCGAAGCATTATAAATCTTTAATTGTGTTTTATAAAGAAATGTGTTCAACCAGCAGAGAACTGCTGTGGTGTACAGAAATCTAGCATCTGTATCTTGTCTGTAGATGTTGTAGCTCCGTTTCGGCGATAATTCATAATATATATTTTACCTCCGATGCAATCATAATATAGAATTACATTGCGCATGTTTATAGTTAAAACACTATACAATTCATTAACAAGCAAAACATCTTTACAATTTTCGAAGTTACCAATTATAATCAATTTTGTGTTGTATCTTTGATATTTGACAATATTCCTTTACTTCCAAGCTGCCACCTTTGGTATGCATGCCTAGAATCATATTTTTTCTATTTTGTTTTGTTTTGAATTGGTGATATATTGACCAGTACAAAATGCGTTTAAAATATCAACGATATCAATCGCATTTCGTCAACTGATTTGCAGTGAGCAAAGGAGAGGCGAAGGATACCAAAGGGTCATTCAAACTCATAAATCAAAAATTCACGATCAACGCCATGGCTAAATAAGAAAAAGACAAACAGACAAACAACAGTACACAAAAACAACATAGAAAACCAAAGACTGAGCAACACGAACCCAACCAAAAACTGGGGTGAACTTAGGTGCTCCGGAAGGGTAAGCAGATCCTGCTCCGCATATGGCAGTCGTCGTGTTGCTCATGTTAGTACAAACCCGGGGATATTCAATTTCAGTAATCCACATTCGAGGAAAAGGGGATGGGATTATTGTTACGAAAATTGGAACAAATCCGTTGTCATTTGTGAAACGGATATACCATAACGGTCAACCAACTCATGATGGCGTCCGTAAAATTTACGAAGGGATGATTTCAACTTCACTACTTGGACATCTTGGTTTAATAACTTCCTTGTGAGCAGTAACCCTGTATCAAGGAAATCACGATAGACAATACAAGCCCTAGAATATCGTATCAACTGGGAGATGTATACTCCGTTTTCAGGCGCTGCTGGAATGTTGCTAAAAAGAAATGGAAACTTCACAATTGGGAAGCTGGCATCATATCTTTTGTAGGAAAGTTTGTTTTTAACCTACTATCATTGTCAATTTCTAAATGTAAGTCAAGATATGAGGTAGACTTAGCTGTATCTGTTGTATCCTTTATCTCAAGTTTGATGGGATAGATGCTTTCAACATGGTCCCCAAATTGTGAATTATTTAGTGAGCGAATATGATCTATCTAGCGGAAAGTAAAGTTAAAGGATACTGCTAACTTCTTTCTTTCTTCCTTAGAAGTTCCAGTATGAAGTCAGCAACATATCAATGAAAAAGTCGGCAAGAAGAGGAGCACAATTTGTTCCCATGAGATTGCCGATTGTTTGTTGAAAAACACGTCCTCCGAACGTTACAAATAGATGCAAAATAATGTTTCTTTTTTTCTTGACAGAAATGCTATCTACCATTTAATCAACTCTTTTTGTGAAGCTAATGGCCCAATGGTGTATCGCGGTTTGGAACAATAGAACTTTCAAAGAAATACTAAATATATTTGAAACGTGTTTCTTTGTTTCTAATAGACGTGTAAAAAAAGGTAAATACTCGACGCTGAGGTTGCTTAATTATACTTTAAATGTGGGAACTGTGTCAAAACATCGATTATCTAGCTAAACCGGTAATGTTTTACAAATAATTTAAGCATATGTCTATCAGATTTTTAACAGGTATCCTACACAAGTCTTTGTCTTGGTTGAATAACACATGTAGAACCTCTCAGTGTAACGTAGAACATGTTAATCATTTTATGTTAATATTGCTTGTGATTATAGGAAGGAAATGATACATTTGGGCCAGGGGTGGGTTTGCAAGGTGTTGGATTTTTGAATAAAGTAAATAAAAGTATGCAATTTTTGATATATAAGATATATAAAAGTAGTTAAGTAGTTTGACTATAAAATATATATCTGATAATGAGAAAGTTTAAATGTGTAATCGGCTTATAGCATGTTCCACATATACCCATCACTCACATATTTGCAATTTGTTTTTGCATTTTTTTCATTCGGCTCGTGATTTAGCGTTTAGTTGATGACGCCTACACACTTTGTAAGAATAAGTGAAATGTGTTACTTTTACACCCTTATAATGAAAATTACAATTTGAGATAAACTAGCTTTATCTAAAACATGATGTTATAAATAAATAAAAAAGGAATATGCGTGCAACAAAAGATATGTTACAATTATAGTGACTTTTTGGACTGTATAAAAGGATAGTCAAATGTCTAAAAGAATTTCAGATCTCCTCTGCAGTTACAAGGCGAAATGTTTTGAAACTTTTCTGGAATATATATAGGATACGTTTTCCGATGATTTTCATTTTTTTGGGTTAAACCGGCAAAAAAAAAAGAGTTCGTTTTACATGAAAATGGTGTAACGGAAATGACTATTTGACCTAAAGTTTATGTTAAAAAAATGTATTGATAGACAAGCAAAAAATGTCCAAAAGAAATCTACATGTTCTATGTGTATACAGACATTGTGCAAAAGTTGAAAGAATTTATGTTTAAACTCTGGAAGGTTTTTAAAAAAAATTGAATACCCGTTTTTCCGCCCGCCCGCACGACTTTCGTCATTTTACACAATAAGACGGTTTTGCATCGTGTGCAACCAGTCCAAAGTTTTTTTACCTCGAGTTAACCCACTTGTAAGTTTCGTCGAAATTAGCAAAGTTCCAACTAACGATTTAGCAATCTTGATGGATTAAGCAAGTTACACATGTAAACGCACAACCATGGAAGTAAACCCGTTTCTGTAGATATTGTGTTTTGCATTCTTGAAAAACATGTTAATTCACCCACTAAACTTTCGCCCATATTGCTTCGAAACACAAATCTATCCATTTTGATTTCGCTCTGTCGAAGGCCTGTTTTAGTAAACAAAATAAATAAGTGTCCCTTCTTCTCTAATTATGTCACTTACATTGTTCTGCAAATTCAGATTACTACCACTGTCAATAAGCAAATGTACGATTTCTGTTTTCTTGTTCAATGCAGCAGAGTGAAGTGCAGTCCCTCCAACCTGGACAGAGATATGCATTACAATTATAACATTATCTGTAATGATAAGTAAAGCAACAATGTCACCAAAGACAAAACAAGTAACAATGGTAGCCTATATTGGATTTCAATAAGAAAGTTATATAAGTAAATGTAAAAGTTGATGTAATAAAGACAAAGTAATCAGCAAGACATCTTTGCTACACAATAACGAAAATTGCTTTGTCATCCAAATTGTTATTTTTCATGGTTTTAGAAAGTAAAAATGCAACCTCGATATTGAGAATTCTTATATTACGACCTATATATCGTCAACCAGTATAATCACAGAATATCTTCTTAAAGCGAAAAAGCATTAATACACAACATTGGCTGATCCGCGATATACGACAAGTAAACTCAATTTGCGACAATTAAATCCACAAGCTTTAAATGCAATACGGTTATCTCTGTAGTATTCTAATGCAATATAAACAAATAAGTCCATTTCGGTTATTATTTTTGTGCAAAATTCAATAAAACGAAAATTCTGCGAAATGAGGTTATCTTTTTTGGCAACTTAAAAAGTTGAAGTCATATGTATGTGTAAAGTAAAATATCGTAACCAAAGAAAAACAATATATATTAATGACTTCGTTTTATGAAATTTTGTCACCATCTATGAAATAATGTCCAGGAAAGGACAAATTTCGATGCATTTTTTGTTCCTTGTACAGACAATATTTCATTAATAAACATAATTTATAAATGCAAAGTTGTCGTTTTAAGGGGAGGTTATCCAAGGATACATATATCACGTGTATTCATGCCACATTTCATAGGTTGATTGTCCTGGATTTTTTTCTCTGAAAATTGAGGTCATAAACGTTTATTTGATAGATATGCATAACTAATGTACGCAGAGATTAATGGTTATACACATACTTTCATAAAAATATACAAAATAAATTCAGAAACGCACACAATGTCTTGGCAGAGGATTTCTCAGGGAAAACATAATTAGAAAAAGAAATATTTTCCTGGAGGGTATTTCACAGTCAAATATTGTCATGGACAGAATTTCACAGTGAAGTATTGTCATGGACAGTATTTTAAAGTGAAATATTGTCATAGACTGTATTTAATAGTGAAATATTGTCATGGACAGTATTTTATAGTGAATATTGCCATGGACAGTATTTCACAGTGAAATATATCACTATAAAATACTGATATATTAACATGGACAGTATTTCACCGTGAAATATTGTCATGGACAGTATTTTATAGTGAAATATTGTCATTTACAGTATTTTATATTGAAATATTGTCATGGATAGAATTTCACAGTGAAAAATTGTCATTTACAGTATTTTATAGTAAAATATTGTCCAGAAGAGATTACACCATTTATGGACAAGGACACTATTTCATAATTAAATATTGTCCTGAACAGTATAATGTCCACGGACAATATTCCATACGAAATTTTGTCCAACGGAAAATATTTCATTGGGGACATTATTTCATGTTACATACTCTTACGGCGTCAAATGTGAAGATTTTCAGGCTTCCTGTAAGCCTCAGAATGTAATAGAATTAAGTAAAAGAAAAAACATTTGTATATGCAAAATGTGATATTTCTTTTTAAATTGTCGAACAGTATAATATCATTACATTGTAATATTATTATATGGGGGTAAAACCTCATGGAATATTTATATGTATACCAGTTCGTTCATCATGGAATATTTATATGTATATAATTTCGTACATCATGGAAGATTTGTATGTATACCATTTCGTACCTCATGGAAGATTTATTAATGTTTCATTTCATGGTAAAAACTGTCTCACTGATGAGTGATGTGCGCCATTTCGTACCTTATGGAAGATTTATATGTATACCATTTCGTACCTCAGATAATATTTGTATATATCCTATTTCGTACCTCATGGAAGATTTGTATGTATACCATTTCGTACCTCATCGACGGTTCGTATTATACCATTTCGTACATCGTGGAGGATCTCTGTGTGTTTTATTTCTTCGTTAGAACAGTCTCATTGACCTTTTTACTGTAAGGCGGTAGAGGTCATGAGAAATGTCTAAAATTTGAAATTAAAGCACCTATGAGATATTATACAAATAGGAATAGTCAATAAACGAAATTTGGTGACATCCGTAAAACTTTGTATTTAAGATATTTATTTCAAATATTAGCTGGCGCTTTTCTGCCGATAACACTGATTTTCTTACTTTTGTATACACTTGTATAAAGACACGCGCCGTACTGGCGTATTGTTTTAAAAAGGTAACATTCTTTTTAATTGGATTAAAAATGTTTATTGAATACACGTGCCATTTGAAATTTAACGTGTGCCTAAATATTGAGATATATATTCAATTGATTATCGTAAAGTGTAGTTGAACCTAAATGTTTATATCATATGCATGGATTTTTTTAAAAATAATACTTTTAGAAAATATGCAATACACACGAAAAATAAGATATAAATGAATTTGGAATTTCTCAAATTGAAAAAGCCATAGCAAGTTCTTTGGTTGGTCACAAAAGGTGCAAATTCTTATGCAAACATTTTTATTCATGGCTTCGTTCTTGGGTGAATATCAGCTTGTGTCCCTTTTCACTGCATTTCCTGACAAAAACAACTGGTTATAACTATAAAAACAGTTGCAGATAATAATTCATTTGTTGGTTAATTAACCTCATATTCTAAGATTTGAAAAATAAATTAAGGATAAATCCTGCAAACAAAAAAAAAAAAAACTATTAACGTTTCCAAGTGCTGCTTAATAAAACCAAATATCGGTCTTTATAACAATTTTACGGCTGGATGCATTTTATTTATGTTATTTAAAAAAAAATTAAAATCATCTCAAAATGTTTCATATCTTAAAAAAATGATAACTTTTACAAATATATGAGACGAAATAGTAAACATGTATCTAGTCTATGAGGTACGAAATGGTAGATGCATCTGGCCCATAGGGTACAAAATGGTTTCTTTCGTGGGTACGAAATGGTAAATGCTGTGTACAAAAAGGTAATTTTAGGTACGAAATGGCAGAGGTACGAAATGGTCAAGGTACGAAATAACTTGCTACCGGTGTGTATAGGACTTTCAGGGTTGACAAATTACAGTATTTGTCCTTTTAGAATCGAAATAATTCACGGCAGCCGTAGATTTGTTTTCATTTAACCATGGGGTGGGCATTTATATTCGATCATTTTATCCCGAGCGAAAGCGAATTATTTCAAACATAGTTCAGACATTTTGTTTCATATCAATGTTTTAATTTCTATCTCCGGATTATTTTCATAACAAAAATCTCTAATGAAGATACATTTACCTTTCTTAGTCACTTTAATGAACAAAGGTACAATACTGTTTAGTATACTGACGAACTTTAAAAACGCAACACTAAATTATTCTTTTAAATTCTCATTTTCAAATATGAAATTTTTGTAAAATAAATGTATTAACAATAATTCCATTCATTACTTCATTGTTTAAAAAAGTTTGCAGTTCGAAAGTTGAATTTATTACGTCATGTTTAATGTTCAAATCATGTGGCATGCACTGAAACTCTGGTTTTCACCTTACCAATGGATGTGTCACCGTTGAAGGCTATGACTTCCTGTAACAAACGCCTAAATGATTGACAGAAAGGTCAATTAATTCTGTTGGGCATGTTTTGAGCTCTCTTTTATACCTTCTGATTTGAACCCTGTCCCATCCATTACAGTATTTTGGGCAATTATGCGGTTTAAACTTTAGGGCTTAAAATGTTTTTCTGCAGTCGATTCTTTTTTGTCATTTCAGTATATGGCAAACATTTATGGCGTGAATATGTCCTCCATGGAATTCGACGACTTGATTAGCATTTGACGTTTCGGCCGTAAAAATGTCTCGCAAATGACGTTGCGTCATCAGATTGTATTGACGAGGCGTTGTCACTACATATTGCTCTCGTCATGGGTGATCTACAACATATCCCATCTGCCTGTACCTTTGTTCTAAGGGCAGTAAGATGAATTTCTGACGTGAAATGTTCTAGCAACAGCACGTTCTCGTATTTCTGCCTGCAATATTTGAATGGCCTAATTTAGATTTTCATTTCTCCGTCTCTGCAATTTAGAGATGCAACAATTTTTTACTGATCTAAATGTGGGTATGGATTGGAAGAATAGTTTTACGAAGAAAAAAAAGCATTTATCAGTTTCAAATTTCGCTTTAAGAAACTCGTGCGACTTTAATAATTCGGTTGATCAATAAGCTCAGGGAAGTCAGGTAATGATTTTTCTCTAACCAGAAAGTAGCATGGTTAGCATGAATAATAGTTATATGAGGATCAACCATGATTTGATAACACAAATCACCAAAAATGAGTGTTGCGTTTTTAAAGTCCGTAAGTATATACTGTGATAACTAGACTTTAAACTGTTTTAGTTTTGAGCGTTTTTAGCGTACTCGATAAAGGTCACTCGAGAAAAATGCAAGTCGAAAGAAAATAATTTTGAAAATACAAAAACTGGATCGATACCTTGAATTCGCTTCACTTTAAGAGAGAGATATATATAACCTGTTCAAGTTGTTGCTCGTGATAAAAACAAAAATGTTCCAAAATCAAGAAATTTTCAAACGTTATTTTTTTAAAAAGAAATAATACTTTAATTTATTTACAGCCGTACATTTAACATCGCAAAGTGAAAATAACGTTGCAGATTCAGAACACCGACAACGTTAATCCTGCAGCGTCCCTGTACATTGAAATAACCATCACATTTAAGAATTAGATAAAACTTATTTTTGCATAATTGATCTCCTTATTGTGCAAATTTAATTGACAGTGTACAAAATATCAGTGTGTTACTATATTTAGGGAATAAAGTCATAAGGGAGTTGTTTATTTACAGAATGGATAATATTATCGAACAAAATTTACATGTTTACTAAATATTAACATGAACAGAGATGATTAAAACCATTAGTTTTGAGCTTGATTATTTTGATATCGTTTTAGGTTCAATTTGACCAAAATATTATTACCAATAATATATGGATTAAGTAAATTTAATATCATTATCTACATTTGCACAAATTATTGATATAACTTCTTTGGTTTACCTGTTTTCATCTTGTACCGATCTCTGTTGAGTTCATGCCATGACAAAAGCAAAGCAAGCATCTTTATTGCATAATGCATGACCGATTGTTTTCTATTATAAATCAAAAACAGACACGAAGAAGTAAAATGTTTTATAAACATTATTTACTATTTATATCCAAATTAACAATTAACAGCTCCCTTCTGTTTAAAATCCCACTAACCTTTTACAAAACATGAGGCAGCCAAGAACCTGTACTGCTTAGCTGGCATTGAGACAAAGCAACAATATTATTTTTATAAAAATAAAAGGTAGGCAAATCTTTATAACATGATCATGGTCACCCTGTCAGATTTTCTCTAAAATACTTAAATTAAGTTTTCCAGATTAAAGGGCAACAACTCCTTAAGGATTTAATTTCGGGAAAAGAGAAATTTTTTAAGTATTTTAAGCATGTTAGTGTGTCTTTAGATTTCTCTAACTATTCTAATGTTCAAAATAATAGGCACTACGTTCTTATATATCAGAATATAAAAACACGAAATTTAAACTATATACTCAAAGACAGTTCCTCTATGTTTGGTTGAAATTGATCCAGTAGTTGAAAAAGAGAAGCTCTTTGATCTTCGACGACGACGGACCGACGATAAAGTAAAACTATCTTTTTTTTTTATTTGTTGCTTCAGTTTTACATTCAAACGTGACTGATCTTTTCACTTTGCTTTATCTACTCCTTACTTTGTTCTGAACATTGAGATTAATACCACTGTCAATTAGCAACTGGACGATATCTGTGTTCCTGTTCAATACTGCATAGTGAAGTGCAGTCTCACCATTCTAAAAAGAAGAAAAAAACATAGCACTGAAAACTTAATTCTCAATGAGCAAAAGCAACGTATATCCTCACAAACAGTGAAACAACGTAGTCATGGTAGTATATTATTCAAGCCGATTTAAGATTTTGCAAACATGTTTTGTGTCTTAGTATCTTGGCAATCATACCGCATCTTCTTTTTTATATTGAAATGTCACAACAAGTTTGATACAACATATCCTTCGCTTTCTACTACAATTACAATAATCAAATACGATTGTTACTTTTACAGTCCTTCCACTTTTTTTTGTATCTAGGTTTACGTTCATAATGAATCTATAAGACATTTTCAAATCAAGATTTGATTACCCTGTAATCTTAAACCTTGGTTACGTAATTTTTGGTTGAAGATTAAACCCTGGTTCATATTTCAACTAGGATTATATCTAACAGAAAGAAGAAAAACTGGGTCTAGACTACTTTTATGTTACATTGAGATCAAGGACATTTATAACATGTCGCCAGTGAGTTTAGACAATAACACATTGTATCTGTCAAATAAATTGTTGTATATTTGCTGACACAAAATTCAAAAATATAAATTTTGATATCTAGCAGACTCATATGTAACACTGATGGTAATTGATCAAATTTCTAAAACTTTTCATTTACGAACTACTCATTGGTAAAATAGCCATTCCTTTTATACATAAAATAAACATCACAAACATCTCTAATGTCTGCATATGACGAGACGGTTACTACGTCGACGTACCTGCTCTCGCTTCTGTAGGAGTTTACTAGTATGCGACTTCCTTAGTTTTTGTGTGTTATCTGGATTTGTCTCTTCTAAATCGTTTTAAGACATTTGAACATCGGTAAACTAAGTTCACCTTGGATTTACAAGTTTTTAGCATAGGTACAATACTGCTGAATATTACTTTTAAAGTGAGTATCAAACAAGTTTTACAATTCTAACGGTATTCGTCCATGTGCTTCAAAAATGTTTAGGGTAAAGTGATTAGTCAATGTACTTTAGTATTCACAGAACTCACAAAATCTTGATAGTTCATATTTGCTCCTCCGTCTAAGCACCTTTCTAATTTCCGTCTATCTCCATTCCAGGCAGCTTGCAGCAGCTCCTATATAACATTAGAAAAAAACACTTAATAATCTAACAGTGAGGTAATAGACCACGAGATGGAAAACCGTAACATTGGCAGATGTTATGACATTTTTGTTTTAATTTCATATATAATTTTCAGAGCATGGCTTAAATGACAAATATCATTAAACCTTTAACCGTTCTAAAGGACCCCTGGTTTTTGGTGGGACTGAGAGCTTACTCGTACTTTTTTATTTTCACTAATATTGATAAATGATTTTTAGCGCATCTAAAAATTTATTTTAACAAGAAACTTTACATACCAAGTCCACTCAATAGAAATATATATAATTTAAAACCCGGAGTGAACACGTATTAGTGGAATACTTTATAAGACTATCAATTATTGGTGATGCGTGAAATACATCAGCCGACAGCAAACCGACGACACTTATCAGCAAAGGACTGAAGGTCAAAAGTAAAATAACAAAAATACGAACTCCGAGGATAATTCAAAACGGAAAGTTTAATCAAATGGCAAAATAAAAAGCTCAAACACATCAAACGAATATATTCATTCATTTTTGTTGATTTGAAATACCATATCGCTTTAAGTTTTCAAGATAGAAGCATATTTTTATATATTTATTGACTTATTTTAAAATAGTCATACATTGAAATGAAATAGAAAACATGTACAAATTAATACCACTTTCGTTATAGCACGAAACCTTTGTTTACCTCGCCCAGCTGTTTAGGTCTCTTTTCTAAGCTCATTGCAACAGTTCTGTAAAGAAATATGATATCGATGTATTTATTAAAATGGCTTTGACAAACGCTTTCTTCACAATCCCATTTTTCCCTCTAAAAATGATTGAAACATAGAAGAATTATACCAATATCGATTTTAATAATAGTTGTTCGCATTGTCTTTAATGTAAATTTTGATAACCAATTATATGTTTCTATAAAGAACATCGCTGCTGCCTTGCTGCTGCGTCAATGTATTCACTAAAATATTAACAGTAGCTGCTATAGTTGACTTCATATGGAAAGCAATTGAAGGATTTGTAGAAGCATTTTCAAATATGAAATAGGACCTGTATGAATTAGACTGTTAAAAATATTAAACATCTATGAATGAAGCCCATACATAGCAGCACTTGGAGCGAAAAAAGATGTAAATGTATTCGAAAATACACTTTCTTGATTGACGCGCATCTCCCTTCAAGACAATATCTGTGTCCATTTAGAGGCCAACAACGTCATCATAGTCACGTGATGTCTCCAATAGTTAAATTCTGATTAAGTTCTGATTTTATTAATGTAAAGCTGAAGTAATAATCAACTGTGTATGTTCTCTAAAAATTTAGTGAAATATATAGAAATAAAGAAATGGGCAGTCATAAGTCCATGAACACAAAACAATATTAAAGATAAAACAAAGAACAGTCTACAGTAACGTTGATAATAACGGTAGAATACAAATTGGTGAAATTAAAACTAACACTGCTGTGTACAATATAATTAATTTGTACACCCCGAATAATGGTTCAGACGGTCAACATTTTTTTGAAAACCTGAAAACTTAAAAGAATTGTATGCAAATGATAGCACAGATCATTTAGTAATAATATCTTTAATATCTTCTTATGGGTATTCAGTTGTGCATTAGACAGAAAACTGTATGCATTGTTAATTCTTTATTTTAGACATTTTGTAATTAATATATACGTTTTAGTGTGTTATAAATCAAATATGAGAATTTGAGTCAAATCGGTGAACATATATTTGACAGCGAATGCCCCTTAAAAAAATTCGAATTCGAGAACTAAAACTACATTTGTGTGTATTTAAAGAAAATATTGTGTGACTGCCACAGTCAATGTTTATCATTTAGTCGGAAAACTATACATAATAAATAGATACCACATCTATCTTTTTTTTATATAAATACAATGAAAACACGAAATTGTATCTCCCGATAAAACTATAATTTAAATGGAAAAATATGTATTACGTAAGGAGTTTACATGTCAGTTTTCCTTTATAAGTCAGCTGTTCAAAATTAGAAAATAATGTGAATTTAATGTCAGTATATTATTTCTCTAACAAGGGGACATTTGGACATCGTGATATTAAAAGATGTCTTATATAAAGTTTGATTTCATCTGTGATGAAAATTTGGTCGGACTCAAGATACTTTGTCGACCACATATCCAACTAAGTAAGACATCACTTGACTTTGGTGACGTAGCGAGCCGCCATTTTGTATAACTTTGTTCCATATAAATTGCATAGGTGCTTCAATGAAGTTCAATTTTTCTCATTAATCTGACCCGTTTTTTTAATTTTTGCAACTATATCCTTGGTGTTCGAACATAATTCTACCTAACAAAGTTGGTTCTGAAAGTATAATTTTTAATTAAATTACGTCCCTGGAGATTCGTAAAAATCGTACTTTTTCTCGTCATTTCCCAGTTGACTCAATGGTAAATCTAGCGACCCCATGTCTACTTGTACATCAAATTCACAAATTCCGTAAATAAAAGTAATACTTCGAAACTCGATTGAGAATATTAAAACATATATCTGGCGAAGTATTTTTCTTAAAACAGTTTAAATCGACAACAAATTACGTCCCACATTGTTTTAAAAGGTATTTTTTTCGAGATTTTTCAAAATGGCGGATGTGTTTAGAAGTGTCGCATGTATTTTTAATCATTGTGTATTTTTCATGCAGAATTTGTGCTGTTTCCGTTATTTTGTTTGTTGTTATTTTGATATGTTTGATTAACAAATTTCTTAATAAAAAATATATTATTTCAAGTGTTAAGTGAAAAAAAAAGTTAACACGGAAATTTATAAAAAAATTATTTTTCACTATTTTAAGGTTTTTCCCTTTTTTGTATAATTTATCTTTATTCAGTAAATATATATATTCTTTTTAGAAAAAAAAAATGTTTTCGTCTCGAGAGAAAAAAATACGCCCAACAATAGATAAATGCTCTGTACCTTTTAAAGTTAATGTCCCTTGACAAATATACGAACAGGTGAACTCTGATTTAGGTTAAAATGTTACATAGCAAGAAATTGTCAGGTAATGTAAAGGAATCGTGTCAAACCAAAAGCCATCAGGTGACATTAACATCCTGTGTACACATGTATTTCCAGAGTTTAGTTTTAGTGATATACATATATTTTCTGAAATATACAAATACATATTTTCTCTTTCCATTGTACACTACCGAAGAATATATACATCATAAAGAACTTTAAAATAGTATGAATATTATGAAAAAATTCTTCGATAAGTTGATTTTTGCTTAAAAAGAATAACCAAATATTAATGTTTCACGATAATTGTTTTAAAAAAATACTTTAATTCAAATTATATATTTAATAGATTTTTTTTTCATAGAAAATTAAACGAGACTTCATTGCATATGATTTTTGCTATTTATTTTGTTTTTAATTCAATGTTTTAAGCAAAATCCACGCATTAAAAAAATCGATATTGAAATTTTAACTTGTGTACAAAAATAAGTAATGGCATACAAGGACATCTTACTATACAAATCCTTGTTGCATACATTTCAACATTGTATACCCACCAATTTTTATCGACAGAGTTATCGGTCCTGAATAGGACTGATATAGTTGGGTATGAACTAAAAAGGATTTACATCCTTTATATATTTTCTGAATTATTACGGAATTTTGTTCAAACTACATTTTAGATTCAATGGTTTCATAGTAAAAGATAAATAGGTCTCCATATTATCTTCTTTTAGATTAATCCGCTCTTAAAAATCGGCATGCCAGGTATAAACGACAATCAAAGCCGCAATATAATGGCATACCTACACACAACTTGATTTTTTGTTACTCTATCCATGCATTCATTACCTTTTGCCCCCCGCGACCCGTCCCTGTTAATACTCACAAAAGTGCATTGATCGATGGCGAAAATCATTACGTATTATAGTGATCCATGCTTAAAAGCAGGAAACAGCGAATAATTTTCGTCTGTGACAACAACGACATCTTGCACAAGAGATGGAAAACTCTAGCACGGGATCGTTGAGGTTGTATGCGCATCCCTTGAACTTGTTTTAAATACGTGTCCGATCGATTATCATAACACATTTTCATGCCTTTGAGTTTTGCTAAATATTCTATTTGCTACAAGGTCCGAAAATATAAATTTGCTGGCATTTAAGTGCGAAAATGAAATTAAATCCCTTTAGATATATCATATACACGGGATGTCCGGTATCAGACTTTACAAATCAATTCAAAAGATATTTGTCCATAAAGACCAACGAAAGGCCAACATGAAAATTAAAAAATTTATAAATCAGTTGAAACTGTTTTCGCACAAATCAAGTGTCTTTGATGAGTCACCCTCACCAATCAACAATACAGCCCTATTAATGGGTGTATAATAAAAGACAGCAAAACGATCTTAAAAATATAATTGTTTAACGTTTGATTTTTTTCTGGTCATGCAAATTGTCTATGCGAATTCTATTCGTAAACAATACACCATGACTAACAACGCTCATCATGCAACTCTTTGTAGAAAACAGGATTATTGAACTGAAGAACTAAGACGTGTGGATTAAATGACAAAAAGACGGTATAAATAAGTATTTTACCAAGTCACTTCAGAAGCTCAGGAAAATGTGATAATAATTTGCAACACAACTCCTTAACGTAGACACAACCATGTTCATTTTCATAATACATCTCTCAATCTTCCTGATTTTTGTATGAATGCCTTTCTACCATTTATTCAGGAGCCGTTGGGTATGCATTATAAGTAGTGTGAAAAGGCCGATTCTACACCACCCCCCAATTTCAAGGGCAAAACCTGCATAGGACCCCCAACCCCGAGGCTAAGATGCAATCCGACAGCGTCCCTTCTTAGCGTATAATAAATCATGACTTTTGTGCACAATGGTTTCGTCGACACAGATGACTTTATCAGCGAAGACACCTTAGAGGGAAGGGTGTCCCAAATTGAAATAAATAAAAGGATGGCATCGGGTAAGAATATCATGGATCAGTACGCAAATTTTTTCTTGGAGAATCATGAAGATTTGAAGAATAGCGCCCCAACCCCAGTTTCAGCTCCAACCCCAACCCCTCAGCAGCACTGCAGCAACCACATGATGGTACTTATGGATGATAGGACCCGCATGTGTCAAACCTTTGGTATGGAAGAGGTGTATCAGTCCTTTGAGCATGCTCAGGGTGAAGTACCCTCTACCTGCGGTGACCCCCTGAAGAGGAAGAAGGGTCAATTTTGCAAGAGTAAGCCGGGAAAGAATGGGCTCTGCTGGAGGCATAGCAAGCAGCCGCGCCAACAGGATGATGATGATGAGAACATCCCCATTGGAGGTAAGATTAAGGTCAGGGAGACCAGCAAGTGACTTCGCCGAATAGCTAAGGATGAGGGTCTGAGGGGGGTCAGCAGGATGTTGAAGAAGTTGGTCAAACTCATCGAGGAGAAAACCAACCGGAAATTTGCCCGCGAAGAGGTCTTCACAAAGAAGGAGCTGAAGGCCATCGCCAAAAGACGCGGAATCACCAAATATTCCCGACTAGGAAGAGCTGCCCTAACCGACCTGGTGAAGAAGGATATCAAAAATGCCCCAGTGGAAGACGAGATCAAGGTAGTCGACCGACTCGATGCATTGAAAGGAGTCTTTGGCACAGTCAGAATCGACCCGCTCCAGCAGCATGATTTGGAAACGTTTTTCCAGGTTAGTCGCAACACCATCTCCAGGACGATCGAAGATGCCCTCACCCGAAAGAAGGGCTTGAAGGTACAGCTAGTGCTGAAAGTGGAGCTGGTCAAAACGAATCTCGCGACTGGGGGGAACACCTACGTCATCCCTTACTTCAGATCAGCCCAGACAGTCATCACCGAATCAGCAGACCTCGACTTCGAGATTGCGGTCATGGTAGGGAAGATCAAGGAAAGCATGTCAAGGTATATGCGCGAGGGTAGTGGATGGACTTTCGCCCACATCGAGCAGCTAGAGATCCACCTGAACGAATTCAAGCCACTTAGGGGCAGCTCCTACATACCAACCCTATCAGCACTTGCCAAAAAGAAGGCAATCGTCAACGTGAGAAATGAGGATGATCGTTGCTTCCAGTGGGCAGTGTTGGCGGCCCTGCATCATGATGAGGTGAATGGGAATCATGCTTATCGCCTGAACCAGTACAAGAAATGGGAGGGTGAGCTGAAATTTGACGATATCGACTTCCCAGTGTCCCTCAAGGCGATCGATAAATTCGAGAGGCGGAATGCAGACCTCAACATCAACGTCTATGACTACGACGGTCTGAAGAAAGGTGAGGATGGGGAAGAGGACCTCCAGATATATCCCCTAAGAATATCCAAGAACACCGGCGCGCAGCACGTAGATCTCCTTTTCCTAACCAGCGATAGCAAGCAGCATTACTACTGGATCAAGACCTTTTCACGACTCCTGAGCTTGCAAGTGACGGAGCACGGGCACGAGCTCTTCTTCTGCCGCAGATGCCTGTGCCACCTTTCCAGGCAGGATATCCTGGACGATCATATGGAGTACTGCGGCAAAAAGGATGCGGTCAGAATCGAGATGCCGGAAGAGGGATCCCTCATTAGCTTCCAACATCACAAGCGTCAGATGAGGGTTCCATTCACCATCTACGCGGATTTCGAGTGCTTCACGGGAAAGATGGATACCTGCCAACCCGACCCATCGCGAGCCTACACGAAGGCATACCAGCTACATCGACCATCGGGTTTCTGCTACCGCTTAAAGTATGTCCAAGGCAACTACAAGGAATCGGTCGTCTACTGTGGGGAGGATGCGGCCAAGATATTCATGGAGTGCATGGAGAAGGAAGTTGGGGAGATCGACAAAATCTATCGGGACAACAAACCCATGACGATGACGGACGAAGATAAGGAGAGCTTTGCGGCGAGCACACTCTGCCACATTTGCGGTGACGCATTGGGTGAGGATAAGGTACGGGATCACGATCACCTCACGGGTAGGTATCGCGGCGCCGCACAAAACCAGTGCAATCTTGACTTCCAGCTCCCCAAATACGTGCCCATCGTCTTACACAACCTGAGTGGGTACGACGCCCGCCTTTTCGTGAAGGAATTAGGATTCGGGGAAGGGAAGATCACCTGCTTCCCCAACACCGACGAGAAGTACATCAGCTTCTCCAAGAAGGCGGGAGACCTTGATATGAGGTTCATCGACTCCATGCGATTCATGCTCATCTCTCTCGAAGCCTTGGCAGGGAATCTTACTAAGGACAAATTCAACGCGACGCAGAAGTGCTTTGGCGACCGCTCCGAACTGATGCTTAGGAAGGGGGTATATCCCTACGATTATATGGATGGGCCCGCCAAGCTGGAGGAAACGCAGCTACCGCCCAAGGAGAAATTTTTCAGCAGGCTCTATGGCACGCACATCAGCGATGAGGAGTACGAGCACGCGCAGCAGGTCTGTGAGAAATTCAGCTGTCGGACGATGCAGGACTATCACAATCTCTACCTGGAGAGCGACGTAGCAATACTGGAGGATGTCTTCGAAGATTTCAGGGATACGTGCATGGTGAACTACGAGCTCGATCCCGCACAAAACTTCACAGCCCCGGGGCTATCCTACGACGCGGCGCTGAAATTCACTGGGGTCCGACTGAAGCTTCTCTCAGATCCGGACATGCTGTTGATGTTCGAGGGTGGGACTAGGGGATGTGTGGCCATGATCTCCCATCGATATGGCAAGGCCAACAATCCCTACATGACCGACTACGATGCGTCGCAGCCGACCAAGTATCCTACTTAGACGCCAACAATCTCTACGGATGGGCCATGGCGCAACCCCTTCCCACGGGGGAATTCGAATGGATGGAACCGTCAGAAATCGAGGACATCTTGAGCTATCCGGACGACCACGAATATGGCGCCATGATGGAATGCGACCTGGAATACCCCCAAGATCTCCACGACGATCATAACGACTATCCTCTCGCGCAGGAAAATGTGGAGATCGACAAGGTGCTTAAGCTGGTGCCTCACCTAGGTAAGCGCACAAAGTACATCCTCCACTATCGAAACCTCAAGATGTATATGGGAAGGGGGATGAAACTCGCCAAGGTCCATCGCATCATTGGATTTAGGCAATCCCCATGGCTCAAGCCGTACATCGACAAAAACACCGAGCTCAGAGCCGTGGCCAAGTCCGACGCCGAGAAAGATTTTTTTAAGCTCATGAATAATTTGGTCTTCGGCAAGACCATGGGAAATATCAGCAAGAGGGTCGATGTCCGGCTGGTCACCAACGAGAAGCAGGCGCTGAAGCTCGTGGCCAAGCCCAACTTCGATCGTCGGGTCGTTTTCACCGAGAACCTGGCAGCCGTCCATATAAAGAAGACGAAGCTCAAGTTCGATAAGCCCGTCTACCTGGGAGCATGCACCCTGGATATTTCGAAGATCCTGATGTATGACTTCCACTACGGATTCGTGCAAAAGATGTATTGCGACGACGCCCAGCTGCTCTTCACCGACACCGACAGCTTGGCCTACGAGATCCGAACCGAGGATTTCTACAAGGATATCGCTCCCCACGTCCAGGAGAAATTCGACACGTCGAACTATCCGGCCGACCACCCCTCCGGAATTCCGGTCGGCGCAAATAAGAAGATCATCGGCATGTTCATGGACGAGTGCGGCGGCAAGAGCATGACCGACTTTGTGGGACTCCGGCCGAAGCTGTGGGCCTACAAGATGGATGACGGTGCCGCCACCAAGAGAGCCAAAGGAGTCGCGAAGACCACCATCAAGCGCAACATCACCTTTGACGACTACAAGAGATGCCTCGACACGCAGCAGGAGGTCTACAAGTCCATGAATATTATCCGCAGCCACCTCCACCAGATCTACACCCAGGAGACCAACAAGGTCGCCCTCTCTGCTAAGGATACCAAGCGCCACATCCTACCCGACGGCATTAGCACCGAGCATCGAGACACCGTGCGATTAGCCAAAACCTACAAGTCCCAGATGGCAGGTGAAGACGGTGCTCCTGCAGTCTGCCTGAAAAACTACTACGATGAGAAGTATCAGCTTCGTCAACCTTCTACCCCAATTAGTGAAGAATTGAATGCGCATGCGCCGTAGGGAGGGTTCTTCCAATCGCGCCTCGCTCGGCTACGCCTCGCTCCCCGCTCATTCTCGAACCCTCCAGATCAAAGTGTTAAGTGACAAAAAAAAAAAAATTCCCAATCCGCTTTGGATTGGGAAATTTTGCGTCCTTACCCCTAGCCCTCGGTTATTTTTTGTTTGTTTACTTCCTCACCAGATCGTATGAGAGATACTCCTGCTTGGACTTTTTGCTGAGCTTGAACCAAGTGCTTCGTACGAAGGCTCCTTGCAAAGAATATTTCTCCTTAATAAGCGTGGGGCAAGCCCATACTCTACTGGTCTCTCCTTGACGGTCCTTCAGGGTGAGGATTTTGCTTTTTCCAAACTTACCATCCACTTCAGCCACCTCCAAGATCTTATAGATCACCTCGGTGGGCAAGTCTTTCCATTTGATGGCTTCCTGATTCTGGTCCTGCACCTTTTCCTAAAAGGTGTCTTCGCTGATAAAGTCATCTGTGTCGACGAAACCATTGTGCACAAAAGTCATGATTTATTATACGCTAAGAAGGGACGCTGTCGGATTGCATCTTAGCCTCGGGGTTGGGGGTCCTATGCAGGTTTTGCCCTTGAAATTGGGGGGGGGGGGGGGGGGGGGGTGTAGAATCGGCCTTTTCACACTACTATTATATTTAAATAAATCTGTATATCACTTATATGTTTGAAACTTAGTTGTTTGTGCAAATTATCTTTATAAACCCCCTGTTTCAAATGTCCATTATCACTAATACAAACATGTTTCTGATTCATGATTTTTTTATTAGTTGTAATTGGTTTGAAACTAGATGTCCGTAACTGTAAATACTCTAAGATTGGTGTTTTTTGTCTTTAGTATTAATGTTTACAGTTGTTCGTTTTGCTTTGTATCGATCGCATGAGCTAAGCCCTTTTCAATTGATTTTCATAGTTTGCTTGTAATGTGTTGTGTTGCTACACCACTGTCCTAGTTTTGCGTCCTCAAACAGGTTTACCCAGACTCATTCTGTATGTGCCTATCTCTAAGTCTGGAGCCTGTAATTTAGAGGTTGTTTTTTGCTATACATTTATATCATATATACGCAGAGTAAGAATTTCCTTCAGCATGTCATTTCTAATAGAAAACAAAGGAAATTGGATATCCATCCATGACACAAAATCGGTACATGCACAGCAAAAAAACACACAAAAGCAAAAGAACAGCGTTTTTATTGCTATTATTCATATCAAAGTCACAGTGAACCCTTCAACACGGAGCAAAAAAAACAACAACAAAAATCTCACCTCACTACAAGTTTAAGACGGCTTCTTAGGGCCGTTTGAGCGGAATCGAATCACCAAATCGGGTCCGGTGAAAAAAGAACATACCTGAAAGTAGTACATATTTAAAACAAAATAGTTCCTACGCATATGTGCAAATATCAAACTATGTAGAATATATTTTAATAATTAAGGTACAATAAAATACTGACCTAAGCGAGAAATTATCTTACTAAGAATTCCAAAACATCTTTGATGTACAGGGTAATCCTTCAATTTAGTCATTTAGTCAATCATTCCGTGACAGATATGAATGCTACAATAAACTAAAATGATACTTCATGTTGTTGTTTTTTTTACATTTTCATAAAACGTTATTTAAAATATTATATCATCTTCGACACCTGAATCAACAAGAAAGGTTGATCAGTGTACAGTTATTCAACTAAATACAGAGGCAGAAACCGTGCACACGTCTTATGAGGCTTGTAAATAAGTTAACTGATATTATTACGTAACTGCATACCGAATGAAAATTGAGAGGTTATATAACAATTTGATGGTATAAGTTAACAGAGTAATTAAAATCTCTTTTTCTCTAGACGTATTTCTATCGTAATATATCTGATACAACTTGAACTGTTGCATACACGTTTATCATGTCTGTGTTATTAAATACATTGAGCTTTTGTATCTGATGGTCTCCAAATATGTAAGTGACTTAGGGATCAACTATTTAACGTCAATCAAATTATTTTTTTTCAAAATTTAACACTATAAGGTATGGGAAAAATCTGGATTCAGAATATTTTTTTTGTCATCTGCTTGACCACAATATTTTTTAGGAAAAAATCACCCCCTCCCTCCTTGAAGTTAAATGGTCGTTCCCTTAGTACATTTTTTTTTCAATCTATGATAAGTCTACAACTATATTCTGTTATGCAACTTTCATCTTGGCTTCTTAACTATTACTTAAACATTAACAACGATTTAGACAAACATTTAAAATACGATTCTTTTTGTTTCAAGTCTTAATAATTACATTTTATGTATGTTTCGCGAGAATCCGCTAGTTTGATTGGCAACAATAGCGGTCATTCAAAAAACAACCTTCCTATCAAAATGAAATGTTACATTCGTGATGACACGTGCTTCCACAAAAAAGTGTTCAGGTTAATTAAAGAAAAACTTGGTAAAACTTTTTTTCATGGTCTTGTTAGCTTAAAGATGTAATTATAAAAAATGAATGCTTCTTTTTGTAATTTTATTGCGGTGTAAAAGTGTTGATTGTGCACACATTTTTAAGCGCTTCATACAAAATGTGCTTCTGTCAACACTTTTTCACCCCAAAACAAATTACTAAAAGAAGCATTTATTTCTTAAATGAAAGCAGAATTTTGAAAAAAATATCATTCGTTATAAGTAGTTAGTTTGGCCAAAATTTGTCGAAATAAGCTCAAAACATCGCTGATGTATTATTGACTTGCAAGTGAACAATTCGACCTCATGTGAATCCGTATTCTTGTGAATTTCAATTTAACCCCATAGCTGCAGATGGGTTAATCATGTTCTAGGCGTGTTCAGCTACCAAAAGGAAAAGAATGTCAACAGTGAAAGTGAAACAAGTTTGAAACATTTCATGACTGATTCGATCCAAAAAATAAAAATCATTCTTATACAGGTAAAAACGATGATTTACTTATTTTTTTAACCTTTAACATGAAATCAAACAGACCTAGAAAAATCGCCCTTTAATGCATACTGGTATACTAAATATACCAAGAAGTTAATTTTATTGGCATCGTTTCCGCACCTGTTGCAGTTGCAGTTAAGAAAGGACGAGAAAGAGACAGAGATGGGGAGGTCACCAAGTGGACAAGACAGTCCAACAAAACAGCCATCACCATAAGCAAAGACGAAAAGACTTGCAGCAGCATTGCTAAAAGGAGATTTACATGATTCTGAAATGATGATTAGGAGGTGTGGTATGATTGTCAATATAATTGCTAGGAGATGTGGTATGATTCCCAATATAGTGACTAGGAGGTGTGGTATGATTGCCAATATAATGATTAGGAGGTGTGGTATGATTGCCAACATAATGATTAGGAGGTGTGGTATGATTGTCAATATAATGATTAGGAGGTGTGGTATGATTGTCAATATAATGACTAGGAGGTGTGGTATGATTCCCAATATAGTGACTAGGAGATGTGGTATGATTGCCAATATTATGATTAGGAGATGAGATATGATTGTCAATATAATGACTAGGAGGTGTGGTAGGATTGTCAATATAATGACTAGGAGGTGTGGTATGATTGTCAATATAATGATTAGAAGTTGTGGTAGGATTGTCAATATAATGATTAGGAGGTGAGGTATGATTGTCAATATAATGACTAGGAGGTGTGGTATGATTGTCAATATAATGATTAGAAGTTGTGGTATGGTTGTCAATATAATGACTAGGAGGTGTTGTATGATTGTCAATATAATGACTAGGAGGTGTAGTTTGATTGCCAATATAATAACTAGGAGGTGTGGTAGGATTGTCAATATAATGACTAGGAGGTGTGGTATGATTCCCAATATAGTGACTAGGAGATGTGGTATGATTGCCAATATATTGATTAGGAGGTGTGGTATGATTGTCAACATAATGATTAGGAGGTGTGGTATGATTGTCAATATAATGACTAGGAGGTGTGGTATGATTCCCAATATGGTGACTAGGAGATGTGGTATGATTGCCAATATAATGATTAGGAGGTGAGATATGATTGTCAATATAATGACTAGGAGGTGTGGTAGGATTGTCAATATAATGATTAGGAGGTGTGGTATGATTGTCAATATAATGACTAGGAGGTGTGGTATGATTCCCAATATAGTGACTTGGAGATGTGGTATGATTGCCAATATAATGATTAGGAGGTGTGCTATGATTGCCAACATAATGATTAGGAGGTGTGGTATGATTGTCAATATAATGATTAGGAGGTGTGGTAGGATTGTCAATATAATGACTAGGAGGTGTGGTATGATTCCCAATATAGTGACTAGGAGATGTGGTATGATTGCCAGTATAATGATTAGGAGGTGTGGTATGATTGTCAACATAATGATTAGGAGGTGTGGTATGAATGTCAATATAATGATTAGAAGGTGTGGTATGATTGTCAATATAATGACTAGGAGGTGTGGTATGATTCCCAATATAGTGACTAAGAGATGTGGTATGATTGCCAATATAATGATTAGGAGGTGAGATATGATTGTCAATATAATGACTAGGAGGTGTGTTATGATTGTAAAAATAATGATTAGGAAGTGTGGTATGATTGCCAATAAAATGATTCGAAGGTGTGGAAGGATTGTCAATATAATGATTAAGAACTGTGGTATGATTGTCAATATAATGACTAGGAGGTGTGGTATGATTGTCAATATAATGATTAGAAGTTGTGGTATGGTTGTCAATATAATGACTAGGAGGTGTTGTATGATTGTCAATATAATGACTAGGATGTTTGGTATGATTTTCAATATAATGATTAGGAGGTGAGGTATTATTGTCAATATAATATCTAGGAGGTGTGGTATGACTGTCAATATAATGACTAGGAGGTAAGGTATGATTGTCAATATAATGACTAGGAGGTGTGATTTGATTGCCAATATAATAACTAAGAGGTGATAGGATTGTCAATATAATGACTAGGAGTTGTGGTAGGATTGTCAATATAATGACTAGGAGTTGTGGTATGATTGCCAATATAATGACTAAGAGGTGTGGTATGATTGTCAGTATAATGATTCGAAGGTGTGGTATGAATACCAATATAATAAGTAGGAAGTGTTGTATGATTACTAGGGATGTCAACGAGTACTCGAGTACTCGAGTATTGCTCCGTAGTACCGAGTATCGAATAACAAAATGATACTCGACTGATCAGTTTCCTGTTAGAATGTTGTTGCTTTCTCAAGCTTAAACAGAAAATATTTTTATTGAGAGCGCCTACTGGGAAATTAAATATTAATCAAAATTAATCAAAGGTAAAATACGTTTCGAAGGTTTGCGTTTAATTGTCATTTAAAATATCTCCGAACAGAGGTATAGGCTATGAACAGAGCACCTTTCCAAGGCTTACACTTTTAATTAATCTTAGTCATTCTCCCACCTCTGTACCGTCAGAGCAAATATTTTCATCAGCAGGACTGTTAAGTACGTAATAAAGTTGAGAAATCGCCTCGTCCCAGAAAAAGTTGACAAGATAATATTTCTAAATAAGAACAAATTCGTTGCACCCTGTGTCGACCCTCAGAAAATGATTAAAGACGTCAGTAAGTTCTGATCATTACTCCTTTGTGTTCCTTAGATGTGTTTTTTTTACGGTTCACAAATACTGTTGTTTGAGTAATTATGTTTCTAAAGATGTTTATTAATTAATTGATTAGATTCTTGCCAGTTTACGTAATTGGTACAAGTAGTAAATGAGCTATTAATTATGGTATAAAATTCCAGGAACTATTATCGGTTCATTCTCATTTATCCAACTTTTTAAAATTATAGGTAGTACAGGTAAAAAAAAGTTGGATAGATGAGATCAAAGGTAATCAAGAACAAAGGGTTTTTCAATTAGAGTTTGGGTTGAATGACAGGTGAAAAATAAGACTGAAAATTATACCCGGATTAAATTTTCTGTAGTATTATTTAGCATAGCATGTTAAAATGTGCAACTGACATTTAGTTAATGTAATGTTAATCATTTGAAAGTATTTTTAAGTTTTTTAACCGTTAATTAAGATGTGAATTGGATAGAGAAATATCAGTTGCACTTTTATTCATGAAGAGATGGAGCTTTTTTTGTATAATAGATCCTCTTCGTTCATTTTTTTCTGTTCTTCTGACCAAATGATCCAAATGGGTCGAAGGTTGTCTGAAGTACCAAAAACCAGTATTTTGTTGATGTCACCATCCTCTGAAAGTACAAAGTTTTGTCCTGAAAATATAAAAAAGAAAATAATTATTACAAATAATCATAGCAACAAAATCTTGAATATCAATATCTATAAATAATCATTATCAATGTTTATCTATTTATTTTTCATATTTTATTTTGTACTTTTGATGCATTTTATCGTAAAAAAATAAATTCTATTTTATTCAATATGAACTTAAAAAAGAAAAATGAAACATATAGTTGTTTTCAAAAAAGTAAAATAACAAAAATACCAAACTCCAAGGAAAATTCTAACTGGAAAGTCCTTAATCAAATGGAAAAAAATAGGGGGGGGGGGGGGGGCTCAAAAACATCAAACGAATGGAAAGCAACTGTCATTTGGTCTTGGTTGTAAAAGCCTTTCAGAGCTTATATTTGTAATTATGTTGCTTATACCGACTTTAAATAAAGCTTTATGTCTTATATGTTATGTCTGGATGTAGAGTTGTCTCATTGGCAATCATACA